TACATTTAGCAGCATTCAACAACATATCATAACTAAATACTAAAGACTTTCAAAAAAAAAAAGATTTGATCACAATTTCCAATAACTCATGTACATAGTTAAGATCATAAGGGACATCCATAATCCTCATGACAAAGTATGCTAAGTTAATCAAAGGCCATGAGGGACAAACAGGAACCTCGTAGCAATGTATATGCAATTAATCAAAATACAAAGTCTGCATGCTAAAAAATAATCATAATCATCCTAAGTTGGCAAATACACAATGTTTAAGCTAAAGAGGTAGATAAACAGGGACAAGTGTCTCATACACTAAGTTAAGGCCTCTGTGCTCTTCTGGTAGAAGTTGCTCCTCTAAATATGTTTACTATGGGAAATGAAACACGAAGGTTCCAGTAACCAATACTAAAATGTTACACTGCAATTAATCATGTAATTGCTAAGTGGGTATACATGACTAATTTTCCATGCATATAATATGTATACAATTCAAACAAAACATTATGTATATGAACACACCTTATATCCTCCATATACTGTGCTCGGCACCTAGTCACCCGACTAATGGTGACTCAGTCTAAGTTACTAACCACACATTGGGTCTAATGAAAGCTTACTACATGGTAAGTAATTTCCAAACAAATTCCCCAACCGCACATTTTCAAAAATAATGCGTTAGGATTCTAGATAAAAAATATTTACAGACATAACTAGATAAAGATATTTCCTAACAAAAGTTATTCCAAAGAACATATATTCTTTTCATATCAACATATATGCACACATAATTAATATCCCGCTTAGCAATTAATTTTTTAGACAACAAATGTACATTTTCTAATATAATGTTTTTCAAAAATATATATATTTTCAACAAACCACACATAATTAATCACAAAGCACACACTATAACAAATTAATAAAAGTTACCTTTGTCCCAAGCAAATCAAATTTCTTTGAACAAGTGATTTCTCAGCCTTATCTATATACAACACAACACTAAAGATAATTAATATCTAATCACACCATAATTCAAGATTAGGTTAAATTAATGTCATTAACCTAACATCCCTCCATGTGCTTAAACCCTCAATCCAAATCATTCATGTTGTTATTTCACTTCTATTACACTCATTAATTCTCTAATTATCATACTTAAACATTTTGAGAAACTTAATTTCATACTAATTAAATCTCAAAAATCTTTTGCTAAAAAAAATTAAATCCCAAAAATCTAAAGTTTAACCCAAGCCTCAAATCATTATTCCAATAATTTTCAAAACATTTTTCTAAACCTAAATGAGCTCCTAATTATCACAAAAACACCTCTAAGATTCAAATTTGCAAAAACTTATCATAACAATTTAGGATTTAACCCATAATCATCAAATTCACATTTTAACTCCAAAATTATGTTCTAAAACACCCATTACACTTCCATTCAATGCCCAAAAATGTGAATCGTCAACCCTATAGGAAAACCTTGATTGAAAAACTTCTCCAAGCTTGAAGGAAAATTAGGTAGAATAGGAGAGAAATGGAAACCAATGTGTTTAGGTAAAAAGGAAGTGCACACATATACTTTTTGCAGATGATCTCCTCTCATATTGTGAGGCCGATAAAAAACAGCTTGCTATTGTGATGGAGTGTTTGAAGATTTTTGGAGAAGTTTCAGGGTAGAAGGTTAACCCCAACAAAACAACAATTTGCTTTTCTAGTAATGTGAGTGTGACATATCAAAAAGAGGTAATAGAGCACTGTGAGTTCAAAATGGAAGCAGAGATAGCGAGGTGTTTGGGGGCTTATATTACAAAGGGAAGAAGTTTTAAAAGGAAATTTCAGTTCTTACTTGATTAAATAAAACAAAGATTAAAAAGCTGGAATCATGAAAGGTTATCTCTTGCGGGTCATTTGACACTAGTACAATCAATAACACAACAAATTCCAGTATTTCATATGCAGCATGAGGTAGTGCCAAAATGTGTTGGAAGGCAAGTTGAGAGGAGGCAAAGAGAATTCTTATGGGGAGATGGAAGGGGGAATGAGGAAGACACACCTTATGGAATGGAAGAAGCTATGTCTACCAAAAAAACATGGTGGTATTGGATTGAGGAATATGTCTAACATGAATGATTCTTTGATCGGCGAGATTGGCTGGGAGGTGCTGGCTAATCCAAAAAAGCTAGTATCAAATGTTTTAGTTGCTAAATATGGAAGGAAGGACAATCTCACTAATTCATGTGTGGTTAAACGAAATGATTTTGCACTGTGGGAGAAGTTAAGTGAATTGTGGGAGAAATTGGTGCAGAATATTAAATGGGACGTGAATAATGGCCTAAAGGTAAAATTTTAAAAAGATAAATGGTTGGATTGTAATGAACCCTCAATGAAATAAAACTTTGATGAATCTTACTAATGATATTTTGCAAGGTTTTAAAAATTAGATCAATTATTAAACCGGACTAGTTACTAGTTCACAATTCATTGGTTTCACTGTGGTCAAATTGATTGACATTAAATTAATATATTTTTAATTTATATATCATAAATAAAAAAGAAATATATGCAAATGTTTATATTTTTCAAAAAAAAATATTAATAAATGCTTGGTAAAATGATATATTGTTGATGAATACATGATTAATATTAATTATTATTAGCTATTCTTTTATTTTAATTAATTTTTTTAAAATGTTTAGATGATTCAGACCGATTTTTAAGGGAATTAGGTCAGTTTTCAACTGGTTTTTAACCCTTTTTTCCTGTCATTGATTGGGTCCTTCATGACCAGTTTTAAAAGATCAACTGAACTAGACAAAAACCAGTTGAATTGACTAGTTCGGTACAATTTTTAAAACATTAATATTTTGAAGGCTACAGTTGCTCTATCCAATTGGATACGGTGAATATTATTTCTAGAATCCAAGCAACGCTGCCACCTAATACTGAAGATGGGGATGATGGGGTTAAATGGTCGATAAAGGGGAAAAAGAAATACTTTGTTATTGAGATGTATGAGGTGCTAAAAGGTTTTTGTGTTCTGGAGGAGGAAGAGGCGTGGAAGAAGATTTGGGAATGGCAAGATCCGAGAAGAGTACAGGTTTACCTATGGATGCTGACGAGTGATTACTTACTGACATCAATTTGCAGGGGGAAGATTCTGGGGACATTTCCCATATGTTTGAGGTGCGGCGTGACAGAAGAAGACACGCTTCATCCCATAAGGGATTATGAGCAACCGAGGCGAGCATGAAGAGATCTCAAATGTGAAGGAAAGGTACGAAATTTCTGTCCGCTTCCTTTGCATGAGTGGGTGCTGTTACGTTTGAAAAAGGATAGGGATTCTTATGGAGAGTGGAATTCGGTGTTCGTCATTGGAACTTGGAGAAATTGTCAATTGTTTGAGGATTTGGTTGGATCAAACTAAATATTGATGGTGGTGAAGCAAGTTGTGGATGGATGTTTAGAAATAAACATGGTCACTAGCCGGGGGGATTGGCTAAGAGTAGTATTATTGTTGAAATAGATAGAGGGTAACGCTGTCATTATCGAGTTTCATTCTTAGATAGTTGTACAGTGAATGGAAGGATTATTGAAATATGGGGATGGTGACAAGTTTACGAGACAAATTGGTAGATTCATGGAGGACAGGTGGCAATTCACCTTTCGGGAGGGGAGTAGTATTATTGGATTGCCACGGATGGTCTTGGAGAGCTGTTGGCCAGAGATGAATTGGGCATGACAAATATGTCTGAGCGTTTTGTGTGGTTAAGTTTTTTTGGGCTTGAGCCCCGTACTATATGCCAAAAAAACAAGGTTTTGAATTAAACAAAAAATGATTTTAGATACAAAAATTGATAAAAAAAAAATCTGTTTTTAATCAATAAGCCGATGAGCTGTGCTTGGCCGCAAATGCCCATGAGCTTGATACCCTCGTCAACTTTGTATCATGTCTCGTTAGTCGTTTCAAAGAAGCTCGCAGTGTTCCCAATGACTTGATTGTTATCAAATACAATTTTTTTTTTTTTACTTTCACTCTTGTATTTTGACTCTTTTACCCAAACTAATTCAGTTGGCTGCTTGTTGACACTTTTCTGGAAGCATACATAAATCTTAAATGTTCATTAATTATATATATCTTTTTGGTTGATTTTTACTGGCACCTCAACTCATACCTACAACCTTTTTTATGCATTATAGATGCAATTTCTCTCCTTTGATATTAAAAGGTAAACATAATTTTTAATTTTTATATTTTATTTATATTTTACTTTTAATTTCTATATTTTTTTATATTTTAAATTTCTATACTTTTATTTTTTATTATTTTAATCCTTCAAGATCCTTACACTTTGTATTTAGAGGATCAAAATAATAAAAATAAAAGTATAAAGACTTAAGATACCAAAAAAAAAAGTATAAAATCAAAAACAAAACACGAGGATTAAAAGTTATGTTTATCCTTATTAGAAAATTAATTTTCTTTTCTGTTGAGAGGCTTTTTAGATGATTGTTATTTTAAGCTCCAACACCATTAATTCATTATAACTTTAAAAATATAAATTGCACATATATAAGAAAAATTAACATCAAACTTTGAACAAAGTTGCCAAAAATGTATTTTATTTTATATTTTTGCGCATACATTTTAATTAGCGTTTATGTCGGTCCAAAAGTTGGGACCTTGGATTTAACGACCCAAATACTTTGTCACAAATGACATGTCTACGTAAACCAAGGCCCAAACCCAGTTCCTTGCTTGCCACTCTTTCACTCTCAAACAAGTTGAAATGATTCGTTCTACCCAAAAAAAAAAAAAGTTGAAATGATTCAAGTGGCTACGAAGCTTGGACTTTTGTTGTTATTGTTATTTTACTATTCAAATTGACAAGTGAGATAAATTTTCAAGTAATTACAAAGCTCAAAGATACGACATTACGTGCCTTTGAGCAGGCATAAAGCCTTAAACATTGGAAGAAGGGGAATATGAAAGTGCCTAGGTAAATCAACTCCTTATAACATTCAAGCACGAAGAAATAAAATCTAAACGTCAAAACGTAACAAAACACACGATAAATAATTTGAAGCAAAATGTTTCACTGTATTTCAGAGTTTGGGGAGTGTTATGTGTTGCAAACTACAATCCTAACCAGACTGATATTCCAAGATGTTTTTGTCCAAAATTCTTCAAAGGAAGCATGGATTAATGACAAACTGTAATTAACGGCCACTCGCTCCTATTCGAAAGTTTTGAGAGCATTATGTGCATTATCACGTAGTTAATCAACCGGAGAGAAAAGTGCACATGTGGGTGAGGTTCACACTAACAAGAGGTTGAAATCACCAAGCAAGAACTTCACAACGTAGTCTGGTTCCACATGACAAAAAAACCCCAGAAAACAGTGCACAAAAATGGGAAAGAAGGACATAGAAAGAGACGATTTCAATTCACCAGCTACGGTCATCTCTATCATTCAGCAGCTTGACTTTCCGAGTCCACGAGATTCTCTGCACCGTCCATCTGCATTAACTTCGAGTCCTTGTTTATCGAAATTTCATATACTCTCCGGACGTTTCTTTACATTTCCATATCTCCGGTCTCGGAGCTCATGTACAGGTTTGTCGAACTCAGATGGAACCTTCTTTGAGTCAACAAGCCGCACAAGAATCCCGGTGACTTCAGACCCTTGTTTCCTGCCAATTCTCTCACTCCGTTCCAATCTTTCAGAGCTGTAGACGCTGAGGACGAAGATGAAGTCGATGATTTCGCGTCGTCCGATAAATCCATAGAATCGGCGCAAGAATTCTCACAAGATTCGCTGGACAGCTCGTCTGCGTGCTTCGATTTCGACTTTTTCTTGTCATCGTATTGTTTCTCGCGGTTGTGGGCTTTCTCACCCATGAGGTCCCTGTAACCAATCGCTGAAATCCCATCAAGTGCCGGGAAATCCGAGCCTTCTAACACCATCGCACCAATGTTCATGACGCCCTGGAAACTCCCCGAGGGACGGCGTATCTGCAGTGCGCAAAAGGACGGCGTCCTGATAGAGTCGCCGTCGCTATCACTGCCGGAGCGGAGAATGTTACTAACGAGAAACCGCACAGTGCCGATCAAATGATCGCGGAGAAGACCTACGGAGTAGATGGCCACGGAGACTGCGGAAGTCTCGCTGGCAAGGAACTGCGGTGAGACGCGGAAGAGGAACTTGTCGTTCCAAGTAGGGTTCTCGCAGCCGATTTGATCGACACGGGTTCTGAGCTTGGTGAAAGGGTCGACCCAGGTCACGGCGTAGGTTTGCAGCCTTCGCCGCGGAGACGTAGGCGGTTTTAGATCTTGTGCGGAGATCAAGTTGATCTCCAAGACTTGATGCGTCCTCGACTCCGGCATTGCGCGCTCTTTCTTTTTCTTTCAGTGCATAGCCACTGCTGCCATATTTCTCCGATTTCCAGCGAAATCAAGAGCTGAGATAATTCAAAGAAGCGGAGTAAGAAGAAGTAACGGTTAGGATTCTCAGAGACTGAGAGGAGAGAACGAGAGTGGGGGCAAGAAAGAACGGTCTCGAGTGACCGAAAGGAGACGCAGCATGAACGTAACGGACTTCTGAGAGGAGGGGAAAATGTGAGCCGAAGCCATGGCAGGCCAGATTACAACACATCAGGCCCAACTTTCTGTTGTGTTCTTTTTAAGTTTTGTGCTTTTACCCTGCACCACTCATTAGAATAAGCTGGGCTTAGGCCCTCATTTTCACCAAAAAGGGGATGTATCTGAACTTGTTATAAAATTAAAAACAGTAAAATCATTTCAATAATATTTATGATTTAGATAGTTTGTTGAATTAATTGAAGTTTTAATTTTTGAATATTCTGATTTGATAATAGTTGAACTAATTTATCATATGATATTTTATATCAAAAAAATGATACGGGATTTAAATGGTTATGGTAACTCTATTTTTTTTTTCTTTTGTTCCATGTTGATAAAAAAAAATCTAAAAAAAATGCCGATGTTATCAAATGAACTGATAATCTACCCATCAAACTGCTAACTAGATTTTAGTTCTAGGTAGTCCAAAAAAAAAATCTAAAAAAGAATCTCGATGTTATCAAATGAACCAATCCTACTTAATCTACTCATCTAAGTGCTAACTAGATTCTAGTTTTAGATAAATCTCTTCATTTAAAATTATAAAATATTTTTAATCGAATCTCACATTTTAATAAAATAACCATCTACTTTTTAATTAACCTATTTTTTTATAGTTACCTTATTAAATACCCTATAATAAATATAAAATTATTATTAATAAAATATTTAAAAAAATAATTATATCAAAAATTAAAAATACTTTATATTTTTTAATATTTAATTTTTTAAAAAATATTTTATATTTTTAAAAGAAAGTATTATCTCGCAACCTTCGGCCCACATCCTTAGCCCTAAAATAGTTTTACATTTCTATCCCTCTCTCCGTTTTTTTTTTTTTTTGTCCTTAAGTTTATCCTTTTTGTGAGTAATCTCATAATCCCCTCGTTCGTCTACTTTCTTACGATATACTTAATGGCTTTTCCTTCGGCCATAACTCAGGATAGTAGGTGGCATACATGTACACCGTACAAACAGGGTAACAGTCGGGTTTCTACTTATTTAATTAAAAAAAATGAGGAGCGCCTTGAAAATCAAAGAAGAAAATATGCTTTTTGACTCCAAAGACATAATCAAAAACTCAAAGTCACACCAAATCCCTAAGATTGCCTCATTCTCTCATTTATCATCTAAAATAAATACTACGGAAAATGAAGGCTTTACTCGCTCCTCTTGGTGTTTTCAAAAAATTTAAAAAAAGTAATATAAGAAAGCAATTGCTAACCTACATAATCATGACAGCTTCAACAAACAGCCAAGAAATGGCGTCATCAATAGTTTGCGAAATTTACCTTCATGAAAATTGTAAAGCAAGAAAAAAAAGGTCGCTTTTTTATTTGCCCAAAAAAAAAAGGAAAAAAAAAATTCACATTTTTATATACGAAACAACATCACGCATTATTAGTACAACGAAACTCACACCCCCTCTCACATTCTTTTCCCTTAGCGATTAAGTTTGAAAGATCACATTGCAACACCAGTAATCCTCCCTTGTAATGGACTGTTTGATGATTTCTTAAATGATAGCTTGGAAGTAGGAGGCCTGCAATGTATTGTCCTTGCTCTTTTCTTTCTGGCCAATTTCTTCTCCAAGTCTTTCACCCTTCCTGTCAAATTAGATATCACAGTTAACTGTTCGTTCCCAGCTTCAAGCAACTTCTGCATCATCCTCTTTAACATCTCAGTTTCCTCAATGAACTCCTTATTAGTGTCCATTTCTCCATCTTGCTTGGAAAAGGGTATCTCTTTCGTAAGAGGTAATGTCACACTTGGTTCACCCGTTTTCTCAGACAAAACTTCTCTGTTCCCAGCATCAACCTTAATTACCTGCTCAGATTGTGCCTCCTCCACCGCTACTTCTTCCCCTGATGTTTTAATGACACTTGCTTCCTTTGCTTCCGAGCACGCGTCTTTATTGGCTACGGCATGCCCATCGTGTCCTATGAATGCTGTTGCTAGAGATTGCTCATCATTTTCCTCCCTCGAGCCACTTTCAACCTCCGCATTCTCTAATGCATCCCCTTTGAATCCGTCCTGCTCATACTCGACTTTTACCCAATCATCTGATTCTCCATTAGATTGTTCGTCTTCTTGTTCTTCCCATTGCTGCTGCAGCTGATCTAGTCGAGTTTCTTTAGATACGTCACCTGCTAAAATTAGAGCTGGGTTACCTCTCCCTTCATTAGTTTGTAGAACTTGTGCAGGAGTTTCAGCTTCCTCACGCTTCTCAGAATCGGTTGGATCATCAAATAAACCAATTGGCAGCTCCTCCATTTCATGCAAATCAACTGCAGTAACTGTCGAAAGTTGCAGCTCTTCCCTATCAATTTCATTTTCCTTGTTCTTCCTAAAATCAATATTATCGGCCTCTAGATCATCAATTACTCCTTGAAGCAATTCTTCCCCAACTTTCATGCCCAACTCATCAGCCTGAGTGGGATAGTCTTCTAGCTCAGATTTTATTTTGGGCTGCACCTCACAAATATCACAACCAGATGCCTCATCTGCACTTAATTTGTTGATAGCCTTCCTACAATCTATGTTATCAGCCTCCAGATCATCAACTACTCCTTGAGGCAATTCTTCCCCAACTTTCATGCCCAACTCATCAGCCTGAGTGGGAATGTCTTCTAACTCAGATTTGGTTTTGGGTTGCACCTCACAGATATCACAACCAGATGCCTCATCCGCACTTAATTTGTTGATAGCCTTTTTAACTGCTTCTTCCGAAAGTGGCTCTGGTTTCTCATTGAATATTTGATAAATTGGTGAGCTTGATCTACACTTACCATCATCAACAGGCAAACTGTGAACAACAGATTGCAATTTCTCCTCGTCATGGCTAGGATCACCATCCTTAATCAAGAGCTGATCTTGACATTGCTCCATCATGACTTGACTCGCATGAATAATTCTGTCAGAGGAATCTTTTTCAGATACTGCTATTTCTTCGGATGGTTGCCCAGACAAACCATGACTTTCTCGAGTAATTCCCTCCGAAGAATCCTCCATGTGCTGCTGAGATTTTTTTGTAATAACAGAATCAAGCTTTTCTTGCAAGAAAGTGAGCTCTCTTGCAAGGGATTTTCTCATCTCCCTAAAACTTGGATGTAGGCCCTGGTAGATGAGAGAAGAAATAATGAAAAAGTGAGCAGAATTGAATTGAACTCGAAATCCAATTTTACCAAAAAAAAAACCGTTAAATTAACAGACCTCTAAATACTAAACAAATAAAAACAAAGGCAAACTGTTTATCCCTGCACAGGGAGAATGAGCGTCTAATTTCTTAATTTACTGCAAAAATATCTTGCCTACTTTCAAATAGAAGGATTATATCATGTTAACCACGCATGCATGCAAAATGAAACAAGCGTTTAAGACATCTTCAAATAGAATCATCATGCGTACCTGTATAGTATCCAACTTCAACAAGAGTCTCATTATGGTCTCTCCAATTGTGACTCTTTCCCTCTCATCAATTTGATTGTTAGATGATGCATTTAGAGCTAGAATGCTACCCCTAACATCAGTCACATGCTTACTGACTTCTGCTATCTGCTTCAATTTTTTCAGTGGTTCCCATTTCCTCTCCTGGAAACCACGATAAGCAGCTTGTATCAAAACAGCAGCTTCTGTATCTGACAAAATTTTTCTCTCCTTTGTATCTCTGGCATCCGCTGCTTCAATTGCTTCCTCCTTAATTACGTCATTTACCTTTCTTCTTGCTTCATTTTTATTAGTCTTTTCTTCATTTGCCCAACTTTCTTCCGTAGTTTTTGATGGATAGTTATTCTCATAGATTTCAGTAGTCATGAAGGGAGTCACCTGGCTTTGAGATCCGTTGGTCTGGTTTTCATGTTTCTTTTCAGTTGATTTCTCCACAACCTTAATGCATCTATTCTTGGGCTTAATGTCCTCAACGATGTTTGAATCATTCTGAAGCTTCAAATCAGCCTGTGCTATATCATGGTTGTCAAATCCATCTCCTTCATTCCTCTCACCAGACAACTCCACCACCTTAGTAGTTCTCTCCTTTGGCTTTAGATCTTCACTTACATTTGATGCATTGGGAATCTTGCATCTGCCGCAACCTTGTCATGAGCACTCGATAAAGCAGATACCTTGGATGTTCCATTAGCTGATGTAGGGGAATGTGTTTTTGAGGGACTAGGGGATCTTGAGCTTCCACTACCATTTTTCTTCGTTGGTAGCGGATCAACTCTCAAACAAACTGGAGGCAGCTTGTATTTTTTATTTGGAGAACCAGATTGTGTCTTTGGGCTAGTCTGAAACTCCTTGCTCACCATATTTCCTTCTGTCTGCTTTACAGGAATGTCTCTTACTCTTCTTTCATGGCTCTCAGAGTCACTTCTTTGCGGTTCCATTTTCTTGACAGGGATGCCTTTCTCATCAGTTTCTTTCCTATCATCAGAACCACCCATGGTCGAAGCATTTCCATTCGTATTGCTAGTGTTTGAGACATGATCACTAGAACAAGAAACTACCGGAGCAGAATTGAGCGCATAAGGTACATCTTGAATAGAATTCAGAGAAGAAGCGCCCTCCTGGTCTTTTGTATTGTCACCTTCCTGCATATTGTAGCTAGGGATCCAGATTACAGGTAATGCAAATTCTCTCCCATTTCTTCCACTCTGCTGCCTTTGCTTCATGTTTCCATCATCAGATTTCCTCATGACATCATCAATCTTGCCGTTCTTGTTTCCTCTTCGATTGCCATCCTGGATCATGTTTCCAAGACTATTGATGTCAAATGGGAACCATCCATTCCACACTTGAGGCTCCGGTCCATCAGCCTTGGCGCACCCAGAAGGCATTCTGTCATGCTGATCACCAACTTCTGCTATATCAGGCTTTTTAAGCTCTTTATTACCCATGTAATGTGGCAGTATCCAAGAAAATGGATAATTCTTCAACTGATTTGGATCCACAACATGGTTCACTTTCTGTTCAGCATCAGGTTCATGCTCTTCAATCTTCACAACTTTTCCTTCCTCGTGGCTCAAAGGGTGACTAGGACACCCACAACAGTGATGCTCTCTGGGCATGCATTTGTCATATTCATACCTAGGCAACTCCATAGTGTAGGGTGGTGGAGGGGCATAAGCAACATAGAAAGGTTCAGGGTATGTAGGATAGCCTCCAGAAAAACACATTGGTGACGGATAGGCCGGCGTGTAAGTCCAGTAACCAGGGAATCTATGGTGGCCACAACAGAATTGCATCGGAGTTGGATACCCATGACCACTAATATAGGGAAAAGTTTGTTCATAAGCCGAGGGTGGTTTGGAAGGATCCACATTCATTTGAGGTTGATAATAATGAGGGAATGGCATAAAGTTTTGCTTATAGGGGTGTGAGTCCGTGCTTCTATATGCAGGCATTACGTTCACCAGAGATTGCTAGCCAAAGCGCAAACACTGCATTTGAAAAAACAAAGCAATAAGAAGATAAATAATGCATCAAACAAAATGATGCGCAAATGTGAACCAAGTCACGATTGGCATATTCAATTATGAATTCAAAATATTTTTGTTCTTCAAAAAACGGATTACCAAAAATACAAATGGATACCAATCACGGGGTCTTTAACAGATAGAGAAAATAAAAATATTCCAGATCACTCTTTGATCGTGATCTTCACATAATTAAAGACAACCAAATGGCTAATTTCATTTTAACAGAATAAAAATTGTTCTCTCTGAAGTCCCACTACATATCAAGCACATAAATTGTAATTAATATAGAACAATTACTTATAGTGTCAGTAAGTTTTCATGGCAAAATTATTTCAAGTCTCTATAGTTTTCACCCAAGAATTTCTGAGTATCCTATTAATCACTCAAATGGTATAAAAAAAATTCAGCTTTGTCCACACTACAACGGGAGAAAAAAAAATTTCAAATCCTCCAAATATCACGCGAAAGTAAGCATTTTGAGTGATAGATGAAGGAGGGAAAAGGCCTAGATACAGCATCAAACTTCCACCTCCTCACTGCACCCAAACAAAAGGATTATCTCGTAAGGGCCAATTCTGCTATCATTTTAACGGAGGAAGAATAATTCTCTCCAAAATCTAGCACCATAAAAGATATTATTCATCCGACTTACTTTCTACACAACTGCAAACAACTCAGCCATGGTTCTAACTTAAGCATTGTTCTCTAACATATCTCCACCTCATCTTCAAAAAACGCAAAAGCTAAAACAACCATATCTAATTTAAACTAGAAAGAAAGTTTGAGAGCCTACAAATATCACATATAAGTGAGCACTTTCAACGATGTAGAGGAAAAACTAATAAGAAGAAAAGGAAAGAGACCCTAGATTCATCAAGGTTCCACCTCCGCTAATCAAAATATAATTAATCCTATTTCAGTTTTCTACTCACATCCAGCAGCTCAAAGCCCCAAATAAATCACTCATCAATCGAACATTACAGAGAAGAGAAAAGGGATTACTTACATTTTATTTTAATTTCCCGGAAAACAAACAACAAAGCAGTTGACAAAACACCAGCCAAACGTTTCCACCCGATCCAGATGACTTAGCTATCGATGCAAAATCTATCCACCAACCCAAAAGCAACGGATCAAAATTTGTAAGCGCTGTTTATCAACAAGATCAAAGCTTTCAGTGAAATCTCTGTTTCCGAACAGAGATGCAATAAATGTCCGTTGTTTATATAGGATATTGCGCCAAAAGACAGATGACCGTTTGAACGAGAAAAATCTGCCTCCTGCGTTTTCGAGATCTTTCCCGGATCTCCTAATGTGGAATCCTCTGGACTTTTCGCTTGTATATTCCAGCCACGTGTATGCCTTTGGTTGCAAAGATGTCAGATGATAGAACTTATACTTTTCCTTTCCAGCCACGTGCATGCTTCTGAACTGTTTCTTCGCTTGTTCTCGTATTTAAAAATATAAAATTTTTTAAAAATTAAATATTAAAAAATATAAATATTTTTAATTTTTTAAAATATAATCATTATTTTTTTAAAGTGTCTCTATTAATAATAATTTTATATTTATTATAAAATATTTAATAAAAATAAATATGAAAAGATAAAATTAGTTAAAAATAGGTAACTATTTTATTAAAAAGTGAGATTCAATTAAAAATATTTTATATTTTTAAATGGAGTGAGTGTGTTCTTTTATCAAAATAACAATTTTAGGATAAAAATTTTTTAACTTTGTAAATTTAAAAATAAAGGGGCTAACAATAAAATACTATCAAATTACATGACTAATGATTTACTTCATCAAAATATTATAATTTTACTTAAATTTTTTAACATTTTAAATTAAAAGGATTATTTTATATTTATTGATAAATTATATTTTTGTAATTTTTCAAATAAAAATTTTTATTTTTTAAATAAAAATTATGATTAAAATTTATTATTTTAAAAATTTATTTTTTAATAATAGAAATTACATTTAAAAAATTATAATTTTTTATTTAACTCTTACAATTTATAAAATAAAAGTTGTTATTAAAACTTGTCATTATTTTTAATAAAGGTAAGATAATCCTTTCACTTTAAATTTATTGACATAAAAGTAAATAAAAATTTTAATAAAATTATTATATTTTGAAAATTACATTACTATTTATATCATTCAAGAGAATTTTATTGTCATATTCCCTTAAAAATATGATGATATAAAATAATAAAATGTGTATTTAATTCAGTATTTGATAGCTTTTTTGGGATAAAATCATCAGTGAGTGTTTTGGTAAGTTTTGGATTAAGAAAAATCTCCAATTAACATTACAATAGATTGAGATTTGTGAATTCAAGTCAGAATAAATAATGTACTTATAACATGATTTATGTTTAATTTTTTTTTAACAGATTAGTCAAATAAATTAATTTTTGTTTTAATAATCAAACTCAAAAACTAGTTTAAATGTATGATAATAAAGAAAGAGATGCATTTTTGCATATAAAAAGGAAATATATGAATTTCAAGATATATATTTTTGTGGCTCATTTAACATTTTTAAGAAAAATAATTAATTTTAAATTACAACTTTTTTAAAAAGATAGAATTAAAAAACTTAATAAGCTGTTAAATTCTTAATTCTTGGTTCTGATTTTTCTTTATTAGCTCTGGATATTTTAACCTTTTAAATTTTTTCACATATACCATAGATATTTTATCTTTTAGATTCAAAATTTCATAGAATATAATTAGTTTCCCAAGATTGATCGCTAATTTGTATCAATATATTTATATATTATAATTTCGAAGGGCATATATAAGCAAAAGCAGTGACAAATTATTATATAATTATATTATAATTATGATATACATGCATACACTCCCTCTATTTTTAAATATAAAAAAATAACTAATTTGTAAAGTTTAAATATATTAAAATTTATAAAGTTTAAATATATTAATTAAAAAAAAAGCTGATAAATACTATGAAGACCCTTCTATCAATATGAATATTCTAGATTAGCTTGTTGACAAGTAAAGAAGAAGATGGAAGAAGACTGAAGAAAATGGAAGGAGACTAGTTGAAAAGACAAAAAGTGGTGGAAGAAAAAGTCAAAAAATTTAAGAGCTAAAAAAAGTCTAAACCTATATTGTCTCTTGTAATAATTCCTTTAACTTTTCATTTTGTCAAAAAGCATGATAAGTATAAGTCTATAGTGTCTTCTTACTTTTTCATTTTTGTCAAAAGTAATTTTGTTTTGTTGTAATTATTAGGGTTAAATTAACTAAAGTTATGTAACTAAGGTTCGAATGCCAACTCTATATAAAGCCATGTAACCTCTAAGGTAACACACACTTCTACGAGAATCTTAGAGCTTTCTTAAACACTTGAGTTCCCTGTCTCCATCCTTGTAATCTTGCCTTCTTACTATCAATAAAAGTATTCTGTTCAATTATTTCTTTCTTTGCAAGTATTGAAGATTAAAAGGTATGACTGAGTAATTTCTTTTTAAGGGTTAAGGGGGGATTATTATGTTTACATTCTTGTTTTATTTTTTCTAATTCTTCTCTTTCTTTATTTTCTTCATTTTCTAATAATTTTTGTAATTCTATTTCTAATTCTTCATATTGACTTTCCATTTCATCTTCTATTTCATTTATTGCCTGTGCCATTATGACTTATCATACTTTGTTCAGTTCTTAATCTTTCTGTATTATGTTTTATTTCATCTAATTTTTTATTAATTCTTTCTTTATTTTATATACTTTTTGTTTAAAGGTTTGTCATATTCTTTAAGTCTTTTTATTTTTTTCTCTAGGGTTTTCTTTTTTTAACATTATTTGTACTTTTCTGGTAACATATTTATTATTTCTTTTTTATTAAATAAATGTTCTAAATCTTTTATGTTTTCATTTATATAACAACCCAAATGTTTCATTAAAAATGTATTTGTCCAATTTGCTTGATTACTTATACTTTCTCCTTCTCCTCCTAATAAAAAAGGTATTAAAATGCATGATAGGTTTTCTACTGGTGTGTAAGAACTTTTTGAAATCTTTTTTTGTTCTACTTCGTACATTTTTTGTTCAATTATTTTTATGATATTCATTATGAAAAATTTTCTAACGCTCCTATAATTACAATGCTTAGATATAGACAATAACAGTACTCTATATGATTTATATCTATTGGTTTATTTATATATTCTATTGTTTTAAATCTAATTGATTCTGCAATTAATTGTTGTAATCTAGTTTTATCTATTTGTAAGTTATCAAACAAATAATGATAATGATATAATCTCTTAAAGAAAGTTGTTAACATTACTTGACTTATTATTTGAACAATTATTTGCCCAATTGCAATACTATCAGTCAAACTAATCTACTATCAGAATATTCAAATTATTCAAAACGACAAGGAAAGCAAGAAAGCAGATAAGGAAAGCAGGAAAACAGGTAACTGAGTTAAACAATAATAAACTTTAGGAATTAAGAAGTTCATATTATCTTCCTCTTAACGTCATTTTGACCTTCTGCTTTGATACCATAACTAAAACAGCTAGCTATGTATTGCTATAAGGGTTTGACCGACACTAATCCGAGTCATAGCAGAACATAAAAGGTTCTAAATCCTGTTTCATACTGAGATTAACAAGCCGAGAATCTCAAAAGTCTGGCTATAGACATTTTACAAACCACTTTCTTCAGACCAGCATAGCACAGTCTTCCTTCATTTTCCATTGGAGGCGTAGCTATAGCAACACATAACCAGCAATTTCCCTTACAATTCAAAACTTTTGTTAAGCATCAGATAATAATCCCTCCTTTGTAATAAGAGGAAAAAAATATATTCAATGAGTTTGACTATAAATCAAGATTTTTTCAAATAAAATTAGAAGAATAAAGTAAAAAATATACTGTTTTTAGTACATCAAAAGGATTGTATGAATGGAATGTATTACCTATGAAATTTCATAATAGTCCTAATATATTTCAGGAATATGTGACAAAATTATTATTGCTAATAAAAAATTTTGCTGTAATATATATAGATGATATATTAATATTTTTAAAAGATAAAGAAAAACATAAAAAACATTTAGAACAACTTATAGATCTCATAGAAGAAAAAGAATTAAATATATCACCTAAAAAGGTGAATTAAAAAAAGAAAGAATAGAATTTTTAGGACAATACATAACCAATAATAGAATAGAATTACAATAATATATTAGTAAGAAAATATTAAAATTTGATGAAATTAAAAATATCATATATTTTAGTACCTTGTTAGGAGGAGAAGGAGATAGTATAAGTAATTAAGCAAATTGGACAAATATGTTCTTAATGAAACAATTAGGTTGTTATATAAATAAAAATATAGATAATTTAAAAATTTATTTAATAAAAAAGATATAATAAATATGTTACCAGAAGAAGTACAAATAATGCTAGAAAAAAAAGTTCTAGAAAAAAAATAAAAAGACTTGAAGAATGTGCTAAACCTTTGGAACAAATTATATATGGAATAAAGAAAGATTGTAATGAAAAATTAGAATTACAAATATGTGATAAAGAAAATGGAACTAATTATGCAAAAAAAAAAAAAGAAATAAAACAAATACTAGAAATAGAAGTAGAAAGAGAATTAAGAGGAGAAAATGAAATAGATGAAAAGGAATGGGAGAGTTTGAGAGTAAAAAAAATTAAACTAAATGCTTATAATTAATAAAACAAATTTATATAATAAAAATAACTATTGATTTTATGAGTGGTAGATAAAAAATATAATAAATAGTCCATGAAATTTATAACAACTTGTAAATAAAAAAATTAAACATTTAATTTTAATTCCTATAATTTGATCTAAATGTAACTTAATTCTTGAAATTTGATTTATTATAACTCAATTTTTATATTTTTGACTCAATTGTAACTTAGCATATGAACTTTGAATCAGTACAACTCAATTCTATGGTTGTAAACATTTGAAATGTGTATCCTTATATTTTATAAAATAAAATTATAAATATTAAAACTATTTAAAAATTTAAGACTAAAAGTTTTAGTAATTTAAAATAATATTATTAATTTTTAAAATATTTTTAATATTTTTAATTTGGGTAAAAGTATAAATTTGGCCTTCAAGTATTTTTTTTAGAATCTTTGGATAGCATGTACTATAATATGGTATGAAACAAATTCTTAACTTTTAAGAATGAAGCATCCAATGACTTTTCTTAATTTCTATTCGATAAACGTTAAATTCTCATGTGAAGCCACAATTTTTTAATTAAAAATGATACATGACACTCCATTTTAGCAAATAAATGTGCAAGTCTAGCGATAAATTATTTTTTAAGGAGTATCAGATAGTTTTTACTATAAAAAACAAGTTATTCAACAGATTCTCATCAATTTTGACCAAATGCTGTAACAATTCAAGTAAAGTAGCAATTTGAATTATGATGCTGCTAGGTATGGGAGAAACGTGGTTCAATCACTTTTTATATATATATATAAAAATAATTTAAATTGCTACTTCACTTGAATTGTCATGAAAATTTAAACAAAATCTTATCTTCTTCATTTTCCTCCTCCTCCTCTAATTTATTAGTGTCATTTTCATAAATGTTTTCAGATAATAACTTATTGAGTATCTTTTTCTTGAGATGAGACTAATAATGAAGACAAGGAGATTGAAAAAATTGACACATTGTGAGTTTCATAAGTTTAAAAATAAACAATGTTAGACAGTCAATTTTTTTTTTATAATAGAGGTTACTCAATACTCCTCAAAAAATAATTTATAGCTAGATTTGCACATTTATTTATTAAAATAGAGTGCTACATGTCATTTTCAATTGAAAATTTGTGAGCCCCACATGAAAAGTTAATGTCCGTTAAATAAAAATTAATGAAAGAAGTTGGATGTTTCATTTTTTAAAGTTAATAATTTATCTCATACTGTTTTATAATATAGGTTACCTAATATTTTTGAAAAAATAATTGAATGCCAAATTTGTATCTTTACCCTCATAATTTTTCTAAAATATGGAAAATAATATTCTAAATTATTAAAATAGAGGGATTGAGTTATAATTAAATAAAGATTAAAGTGACAAATGGTAAATTTTTTTCTAGTTAAAGACAAAAAGATATACTTTTTAAATGTAAAATAATTTTTTAAGAATTAAGTACTAAAAAATATTAAAATATTTAAGATAGAATTATTATTTTTTAGGTTACTTTAATAAATACATTATTTTATATTTATTCTAAAATAAAAATAAATAGATAAAGATTGGCTTTAGTTTAAAGATAAGTCAGCATTACAACCATTTTTTTTTATATTTGAAAGTACTTTACTCCCTATTTCCTTTTTTGTCTAGGCAGCTCTTCTTTTCAGTTTATACTCCCTGCATCTTTACGTATAAGAAGTGTTTTATAATTTTTTTATTTTTAAATTTAAAAATACTAACATATTTTTTAATAAATGAATGATTATATTTTTATTATATTAAAAAAAATATAAATATTTATTAATTTATTTTTTATTTATAATAATTAAAGATAAAATTAAAATGTTGCTCTGACTTTAATTATATACACAACGGAGGGAGTATATCCTGAACCAGGACCGGCGAGCACAACAGATGGCAACCACGGGTGAACTCACCGACAAACGAGCAAGAGACGATATATGCAAGAACCCACGGACAACGGACGGCCAGTTAGGAACAAACAATACGATGCTAACCTCGACGAAACCCACGGCAGAACCCACAGACGGTGACGGCGGCGAGAAGGAGGAGGGGGGCAACGGCTTTGTGAAGACTGAAGACAAAGGCAAAGATGAGACCGCGACTGGCGATCTTGGGCCAATTATGGATTTTGGGCTATTCTTGTGTCACAATGAGCCCCCCTTTATTATCCACAAACCATTTTAAGCATTACCATTCCCGATGCACCGCCTCTCCCCTTCTCGGACACTACCCTCCTTCTGGCTCTTTCGCTCTAAAGGCAGGTAAACTGTGTTTACGAGTTTAACCAGTTTTGCAAAGCCATCGCATCGTGTAACGGTGCTTAAACTAACCAAAGAGGTTTCAAGGCACTCTTCGCTTGGAAATCTTCTTGAGCTTGTCAAACAAAAGAGATGGGTAGAGCCAAAAAGGGCCCCAAATTTGCGGTCATGAAGAAGCTTGTCACCGCCAAAGCAATCAAAAAGTGAGATACATAATTTTTTCTGTACCCACTCCTTGGAGTTTCATGGTTATTTGGTATTCGTGATTTTTTGGGGTATAAATTGTATGTTGTGTTAAATTCAGTTGTAAAGAAGAGGTGTTGAACCCTAAGAAGAAGGACCTTAGCAAGGAAAAGCTGCCAGAAACGTGTAAGCACTTATGCTGACTATTCTTTGAATGTTAAACCTTAAATTATGATACTTTTTTGTTTGTGACCTTCGTTTTAATTTCCATGATGAAGCCCTTATTATCCTTCGTCGCTGTTCTTTGCACACAACACTGAATTGGGGCCTCCTTATCGTGTTTTAGTGGACACCAACTTTATCAATTTCTCCATTCAGAACAAAGTGAGGGCCTTTTATTTTTATTTTTATTCTTTTATGATTTTATCATGGTTTTCATTTTATGGAGTTTAGCTTATTTTAAATTGAATATACAAGTTTGGCTCTACGACTTTGGATTTCCGCACCAGTTTTGTTTTGTTCATGTTTCTAGTACTTGGTCCATGATGCCAGTTGAATTAAATTTTGTGCAGATGTTGATGTTTCTGATTTTCTTCTGTTATCTTTACAGGCTCCGTATAGTAATTTAACATGTAATGGCCATAAAATTGCTAGTACAAAAGGTGCCACTTTCTTTTGAATAATCTGTGGCTTGGTGTCTCACGTGAACTTTTGTGTTGCCATGTAGTTGGACTTGGAGAAGGGAATGATGGACTGTTTATATGCGAAATGTAAGTTTTAAGCAAGCTACTATCTGTCTCGTGTTAATTTATTCATGTGGTGAATTTTATGCATGGCAGTAGAGTTCTGGGTTCTAACACATTTATTAGCTATTAAGGTGCTTTTATAGCCCTTTTTAGGAGGTAAAAGACACTATTGGTTGTTTCATTTCTGAATAACATTTTTTCTTGTTTCTATTCATACACTCAAGCTACTTTTATTTGGCATCCAGGCATTCCCTGTATCACAGATTGTGTGATGGCGGAACTTGAGAAATTAGGCCAGAAATATCGTGTGGCTCTCAGGTAGGTGCTTTGTCTTTTGCTTTTATACATTCACATAAATTATTTGATTGTTGTATATTCTCATATCTTGGCTGCACCTGTAAGATAAAAATTATTATTTGCATCCCCTGCATGACCTGGCTTGCTGCATGTTTATAGTTTGCTATTTTATTTCCTTGTGCTTTGGCTCTATTACACTTTGTCCTTTGCAATTTGGAAAGTGTCATTTTGCTCACTTAAGATTTAGTTCTTTAGTTCCCTCTTTACTTCAGAATAATAAATGCACGAGTTTTACGTCCTGTGTTCCTAATTTCTTGTCTGAAATCCCAATTTCAGAGAGAAAAAGTTACACAAATGGTGGCGAGATAGACAATTGCAGCTTCTGATGCTAAAGGACTAAGCCACAAGGAACCAAATAAGATTTTTGAAACCATAAAATGATAGATTGTAAATCCACTGGGTTTCTCTAATTATTTCTTCTTTTATCATAGTTGTTTTCCACCATCCTTATTCATTGTGTAATTATTGACCCTTTTTTATCATAAAGTCAATGACATAGCTCAGTAGTGAAAAGAAACTAATAACTCGTTTGTTAGCTCACTTTTTGAGTAGCTGATTTATCAAATATTTTCTATTTATGGCAGGATTGCAAAGGATCCTCGATTTGATAGGTTACCTTGTACTCACAAAGGGACCTATGCGGATGATTGCATTGTTGAGAGAGTTACTGAGGTGTGATTTATTTTGTAATTTCTGTTTAATTTTGATTTCAGAATCTCCTAGAGAAACTTGATTATTATTACAGTTTTCTTTGTTTTTAAGAAATTTTAAATGTATTCGATTGTCTAAAATAATCTTTAATTTTTTAGGCTTGATTCACCATGTGTATACTTCATCTGGACTACAATATAGGGCAATAGTAACTATTTCATGATTTTCCAAAAAAGTTGGGTGAAACCTGAATCTTTTAAAAAAATTTATATCTTTTCCAATTATCCCCTCACTAAATATTCTATATCAGTGCTTTAATCATGACAATTGAAATTCTGATTTCTAAGGCATCATTTTTGTTTTAAAAAAGTAACGAATGAAGTAGGGTATGAGTAGAAAAACAATTATAAAAACAACCTAATGCCTTATATTTTGGATCAAATAGAGCTTCTAAAAAATGCCCTATATTGTTGTGTAGAGGGAGTACTGTATGTATTCCATGCATTAAGGGTTTCTGTGGATGGGGCTAAGAATAAAAAATCTGATTTTATTTGTTAATTTCAAGCACGTGAAACTCGACATTCCTCTTGTATAGAGATCAAGCGCTTTTAAGTGAAAGATTCCTGGAAGTTAAGGATTTCTTACTGTCTTACTTTCTTTTCGTCTTGGGCATTTTTTGGTTTTTTTTTTTTTTTTCCCGGGGGGGTGGGTGGTGGGGTTGTTAAGGGTTTGGATCTTTTAATGATGTGCTTATCAATCCTAGAGCTTTCAAAGAAAGTGGTAGGCTCCATGCGTAGATATTGGCTATGGCTTGGTGGCAATTGTTTTCCTAAGTATTATCTGATGACCCATTTCAGAAGCCTTAATTGCAATAATTTAGTTAACTGGCATCCATCCCTCTCGTTGAAATGCAAAGTTGAACCAAGAGGATATTGTGATGTTTATAAAAACAGGGTCGTCTTTCTTTATTCTTTGACCTCCTTTTTTTTTTAAATTTTTTTTTGATAATTTGCTGTGCCCAGTCTATGGGTAGTCGATTCTTTATTGTTTGACCTCCTTTTCTTTTGTTTTCTTTTGTTTTTTGAATTTTGAGAATTTGCAAAGCCCAGTCTATGGGCAGTCGATAATTTAAATGCATATCATTCTGTAATATTTGTTTCATCCTATCTCTTTGCGTGCTGTTTCTTATTTATGAACTCTATACTACTAATTCGAATTGTTCTCAATTCAAATCCATTCAAGTGTTTATTTTCTTATTGAAGTGTGACTGGGCATGTGTATCTGTTGCTTCCTTAATTATTGTTCATTTTATCCTATTCATCTCAAAGCATTTTGTTGGATGCAGTTTAGGTGCTTCATTGTTGCAACATGTGATCGTGACCTTAAGCGAAGGATTCGCAAGGTAAAGTTAAGAATTGTTATTCTTCCTTCCGTTGTTGAAATTGGACCTTAATGTGTGAACTTGGATTTGGTGCAGATTCCTGGCGTACCAATCATGTACATCACTAAACACAAGTATTCAATTGAGCGCTTGCCTGAGGCAACAATAGGGGGAGGTAAATATATATTTAGAGTCTTTACTCACAGACTGAGATGGAATTTTGTTTTTGTTTTTATGAGCTCTGTTTGTTTGTTTGACCTAGCCTATCTTGTATTTTAAGCCCGTTTGATGGGATGATCAAAAGCTTCTTTAAGCCTGCCTCATGGCTCATTAGGGGCTCATTTGGATTGTGAAATGTTAAAGGGAATAAAATGAAAAAAGTGATCTTTTTTAATTTTTTTTAATTGTGAAATGTCATATATATTCTTAGATAAAAACCAATAATGATAGGAAGTAGTTGTTATTGAGTAATAATTATAAGTATATATTAGATATTTCACTTCTCATTTGCCATGTGATGGGGAAATGGTTTCCTTTCTTCAGTGCAAACAAAACGGAGCCTAGGTTTTTTTATTCAATTTGGCATGGACTTACTGTAGCCCCTTTAGCAACTGCGTATAATTCTGAAATTCTAAAAGATTATGATATAAACTTGAGGCATATTATCTCTTATCCTATAAGGCCTTCTTTAACTAATTAGGAAAACATTGATGCTTTATTGGCATTAGAGACAGCAAAGCTTCAGCTGAGATGAGCTCAATGTCTTGCTGTATCAAGACATTTTTATTTTTCGGGGTCTTATCTACCTGAACTTAAAGAGTCCTCCTCAATGAAATAAAATATAAGACTTTGGTAGTTAATAATCAAGTTCCTGATTATCCTGTCAATAATCATGAATAGAAAATGATCATTAATCCACCGGGCAATTTTAGAGCTTTTTCCACATATATTTTTTTTTTTTGGCATTTTTAACGATCTTTCTAATTTCATTTCCTCTGGAAGCTGATTCACATTTGTGGCTTTTAATGCAGCTCCAAGAATTTGATCACGTGGGTTGATGGGTTAATCCATGACGGTGATAGAAGTTAATCTCCATTTACGGTGGCTTGATTGATGTTGATCTCCCAGTTTTTGGCCTAATTCCTTTTTGTTGCTTTTGTTTTTGTTTTTTTGCCAAAATCAATTTTGTTACTTGGGGCGGCCAATTTTTTCTTGTGTGTCGGGAGGGAGCAGGGTTCATGATGGGGTGCAATATGAGTGGAGACTTGTGATTCAATTTTTTGTTTTTGTTATGTAACAAAAAACAAAAATCATGTATAGATAGATGTTTTACGTCAGTTAATATCGTGCTCTCCTACTTAACTTTCTTCTACAGAGTCATTTTTTGGTTGAAAATGAGGAAATCATGAAGATTCCGAATTTCATCATGGAAGATTTAGGGCCTGTTGCTATCTGTGCAAATGCCCGGTTGCTAGGACTAAAAAAATAAAAAATAAAAAATGGATTATTGCATACGAGTAAAACGCTGGTGCCAGAATGGTGATCAAGTTTTGGCCATCAATGATATTTGAGCGTCAATTAATAGTTGATGGGTATTATTAAAAAAATTAGTAGTTTTGAGAGATTTTTTTTATTGTCCAAATTTCCAATTGATATTTTATTGAGCGTCATGAATCAACGAATCAACGTCAACATGTGGCCTGCTCACTGCAAGTCTTAAAACGGTAAAAAAAAAATCACTTTAAGCTTAATACCTTTTGATATTACACTGCAAGCTTAGAAGTTTTTGTTGCAATTTTTCTTGAAATGAAATTATAATTTTGTCTTTATATGATTTGAAAACTCAAATAATGTATAATATAATATTTATAGATGCACGATACAATATTTATGCATGTCTAATTAATTTGTAGGTTAAAATATGCATAACACAAAGTATGTATAACACAATATTTATGAATGCACAATACGATATTTATAAATTCTCAACATAATATTCATGCATGTTCAATTGATTCATAAGTTAATTAAAATAAAGTCACGTAGGATGTACAACATAATATTCATGAATGCACAACACAATATCTGTGAATACATAGCACAATGTTTATAAAATCTTAATACAATGTCCATGTGCGTTCATGCATTGACATTTAATCGAGAATGTATGAACATTGTGTTGTATATTATGTGCTTCACTTGTACATTTTATTCAACTTACTGATTTATATCAATGGATATTGTGTTGTGCATTAATGATTATTGTTTTGTATATGATTTGAGTTTTCAAATCAAGAACAAAATTATATTTTCACTTTAAAAAAATTACAATAAAAATCCTTGGGTCTCCAGTGCAGTAATAAAATATATTGGGCCTCTCTTTTAAAACCTGCAGTTCAATCCCCTCAATATCTTATGCCAATTTCTTACTGTTCACTACTACATTGAAAAAGGTCAAAAGTAGTATGAAAATGTTTGAGATAAGAGACCGGCTATAAATTTGAGATTTAAAGGAACAAATTATGTAGTTGTATTCTATATTTATGAGTACCTTTTTTTATTTAAAATACATAAGACTGTTTATATTGGAGGTAATGGTAGATAATAAATACTTTAAAAGATCTCAAGTTTCCCAATTGAATAGTTATTTCCTTCTTTTCAGTTGATTAGTTTTTAAAAATCTTTTTGACTTAATAAGGACATATTTGTTCACATTATTTTTATAAATTAACAAAAAGATGGTTTTCAATTGACATTTTCAAGTTTCGAATCCTCTATTGTGGTTGGAATTATGGTTGTTGTTGTGGTTGTCATGGTCGTCATCATTGTTGTAGTTGTTGTCATGCTTTTTTATTCCCCCCCCCCCCCTCAAGACTGTCATTATTCTTTTAAAAGTCCCAGTATCATTATGCTGATATGATTTTATTATAGTTGATTGAAGTTTTGCAATGTTAAGAAAACCAGTTAGATTAGGGTATTTGTTCATGTTTTAATGATTGGATTGTGATTTGAATTGTAGTTCAATTGATTATAAATAAATTAATATATTTTAAATAATACATGAATAAAATAAAAAAAATAATCATATATAATAATAAAAATAATTTTTTCTATTTGAAACAAAATAATATTAAATAAAAAATGTAATATCTATCTATATTCTATTTGTTAATCCAAAAAATATATATTATTTCACAATGTATAATCTATAACTTTAAAATATATACATATATACATATTTTATGTTTATTTCTTATATATTTGTTCATTTTTCTTCATTTATCAATGCTTATTAGGTATAAGTATATATAAATAATAGTTTATAAATATAAATTAAAATTTTAAAAAATAAAAAGTAAAAAAAATAGCATAACCAATTTAACTAGTGTTTCTATTAATTCCATCAATTTTGACCAATTTGAGATCAATTCAATTGGTTTTTAGCCTGTTCTTAAATATAGTAATTTCATGATATAAATGGAATAGATTTAGGATTGATTCTCAATTCAACTAGTTGAGCTAATCCAATTCAATTCTAATAACACAGGAGTTTTGTGGGAGGATAAGTATATTACAATTTTTACTCATAAAAAAATTGATATTTACTCATAATTCTTTATCAAAAAAAAAAAAGAATATCATAATTCAAAAAGACCGAACACAGTGCGAGACACAAGTGCTCAAACGCCGGGCCACAGCGAGAGGAATGAGTGCGACGGCCGCTTCTCATTCAATTGTGCTTTGGCAATTGCAGACGCATGTTTCAGCTGCATCATGGGCTGTGCTCCACAGAACTGTCTCTTTGCTCACCCCAAGAAGGAAACTTCACTCCTACCACACAACCAAGCCTCCCATTCCCGCTTGTGTCTTCAACAATGGTCGCGAGGTTATCGTCAACTCCAATTCTGCCTCAACCACCACCCCTACTTCCGTGGTATCATCCGATGCTGTTGATACCGTGTTGGATTTGGGAGTGTTTAAGCAAAAGTGCCGGAAATGGCAATGGAAGGGCCAGTACTCCATCAATTACTTTGTCTCTTCTGATTTATATTTACCTCAGACGTCGCCGACCGGTCCCCCTCTGCTCCTTGTTCATGGTTTCGGTGCATCGGTTCCTCATTGGCGCAGGTAATTTGGGTACATGCCCTAGTTTATCTATTGCTGTTAATGTTGCTTCCCATCCACCCATTTCTTTTGGAAGTTATTATCCATGTTTATTACTTAATAGCCACAAGAAAGAAACTAAATAATATTTGCATATAGGAAGTCAATGGATTGATGAGTCCTGAAGCAACAGTTCCACTTTTGCTGTAAATCACACTTGATAAGACCATTTTCGTCCAATTGAAATTCCATATCACCCATTTATGATACCCTTAAAATTTTTGGACATTTAGTTTATTACACTAGGAAATAGTTCCAAACTAGAATTACCGATCAGCCTCTTAAAGCAAGGTGCAGAATACCCTTCAAGTTATCCGATTCCTAACTAGAATTACCGATCATCCTCTTGCAGCAACATTAACTATCCCTGTATTTGAGAGCCAAAAGTGGATAAAGTCAAAATTATATGCTATTAAGTACTCTTAGGCTTTTAGCATCATTATCCTAGTCAGGGCTTGTGGACTAGCAAAATTCCTCGTAGAGATGACACAATTTGTTCTGTTACTGGCTTTTCTCTATGTGCGCATTTAATACATGAATAACTAAATATTTCAGATGCGAAACATGACGAGATAGAGGAAAGCTCTTCAATGTCTATATATATATATAAATATCCTACACAAGAGTAGTCTTTTCAGTCTTGTAAATTGTTCATATATATTTTTTCCGACATGTTGAGGCTCTTTCAGGAATATCAAGACATTAGCTCGCAATCATACTGTTTATGTCATTGATCTTCTTGGTTTTGGGGCATCTGATAAGCCTCAGAGCTTTTCATATACCATGGAAACATGGGCTCAGGTATTTCTTTGTTGAGTTTTTTCTGGACATCAAATCTTACACGTTCCAAACTTACCGTGCTGATCCAGCTTTCACTACAAACAGTTGATCCTGGATTTCTTGGATGAAGTTATTCAGGAGCCAACTGTATTAATAGGGAATTCTGTTGGCAGTCTTGCTTGTGTCATTGCAGCCTCAGGTATGTTTGGCATACACCTGAAGTCAAACCGTTATTTCTCTGTCAAATGGTCAGTCAGGTAGAATTTGCATCAGAAACATTTTGTATGCCTTACTTATGCATTATAGTCCTCAACCAGATTCAGGTCAGACTCTTGTTCGAGGACTTGTTCTGTTAAATTGTGCTGGTGGTATGAACAATAAGGCCATAGTTGATGACTGGAGAATCAAGCTATTATTACCTCTGCTTTGGCTGGTTGATTTCTTATTGAATCAAAAGGGAATTGCCTCAGCAATTTTCGAGCGTGTCAAACAGAGGTATTCTTTCTAAGTTGGGCTGCAATCACTTTGAAGATTTTAGAATAATCAATCTAAACATAGTGTTTGCTTGGATACAGAGAAAACTTGAGGGACGTACTATTGTCTGTGTATGGAAATAAGGAGTATGTAGATGAAGAGCTAGTGGAGGTAATGCTACACTTCTTTTTTTTTTTTTAATATTGAATAAGACTTTTCTATAGTTCTTTCCATATTAGATTTTTCGATAAATAGGCAAAAGATGTAAACATTCCATCAAACTTAGCAGCAAATAATGGACTGTTTCTCATTTTATAGTTAAATTGAAGGAAGAACCTGATTGTCTCCATGTAAACAACTTGGCATTTTGACTCTGTATATGCTGCAGATTATTAGAGAACCAGCAAATGATGTGGGGGCGTTGGATGCCTTTGTTTCCATAGTAACGGGGCCACCAGGGCCTAACCCAGTTCAGTTGATGCCAAGAATCTCCCTGCCTGTTTTAGTTTTATGGGGAGATCAAGACCCTTTTACTCCTATTGATGGTCCTGTTGGCAGATACTTTTCTTCATTGTCTTCTCGACAAGCAAACGTTAAGCTCTTCATACTAGAAGGGGTTGGACATTGTCCCCATGATGACAGACCTGACTCTGTCCATGAAAAACTGCTCCCCTGGCTGGCCTCTCTTCCCACTTTATAGCAGAGTGTACCTTAATCAGATGCTCGGGTTCTAGTTGCAAACGCTTTAACCAGATGGCCAGATGTCATATGGCCTACAAAAATAGGTAAACTAGCCAATTGTATTTGATTGGACATTATATGGTTTTAAAAATGCTATGCACCTGACATCTGTACATCATGTCGATCCTATTCATTTATATCGGAAGGTAGACGGCATGGTGTGATACACTACAAATACATAAAGCTGGAATTGAGGTCGTCTTGTGGATATATCGTTTTTTTTTTTTTTTGGGGGGGGGGGTTGTGGTTTCTGGAGGTATTTCCACAACTAATTCTTCAAGGAATTCGAGTTTCATTTAAAGGGTTGTAATCTCCCAGATAATTCTTCCGATACACGTCTTGGAATTAAATTCTGAAATGGTACTTGAGGAGTTTAGATCTCTATCATGTGGTTGCCATGTTTTGATGGTGTTGGCAAGTGTTTTCAGCTTTAACCATTGAATTTTGCTGCCTTTTGTGATAAAAAACACGATGCAATGTTTTGGTTCTATCATTTCACAATAGTTTCAATAACTTTTAAATTTGCAATTTTAAAAAGAAAATAGACTTGTATGTACTCATCTTTCAATGAAAAAAATTGATACTTTCCTCAATTATGTAATTACTATTTACAAATCAATAATATAATTACTAATTTACTAATTCCTACTCACCTTTCCTAATAAGGAGAAATTGCGAGCAAGAAAAACAATTCTGAAAAACCTAAGTTTTGAAATCGCAATCAAACCATACATCTTCGGATCTTCCTTTGTGAGCTCCCTCGTCCCTCCGCTGCATTTGACAAGAAATGTGGTTTTTTCTAGTGTTTGTGCGTTGGAAAGAGTGAAAACTATTAAATAAGTTTTTTTTTTCTTATCTGGAAATAGTGAAAATCTTTTGTGGTTTTTTTTTGTCCAAAAAATATATATTGATATGTATATCAAATATGTTGATGCTTTAATTTTAAAAAAAATGATACGATAGATCTTTGATACTTATATATATTTATAAAAAAATATTAAAAATATAATTTTAATTAAAAAAATATCTAAATTAACATGCATATATAGTTTTTTATAATAATATCTAGCAAAATATAATTACTAATTATACTTTTATTTAATAGGTATAGTATTAATATTTTCTCGATTATAATAAAATTACATTCTCTTGTTTTTATAATTAAAAAAATGTAATTTTTTTAGATAAATAAAAATATAATTTTTATTCTTTTATTACATCTGAAACTAATTTTTTTAAACAAAATCTAATCTTTAACTTTACAAGTAAATCAAAAAATATATTAATAATAAAATGTTTAACATTACAACTTTTAATAAATTTAATTTTTTTAAAAAATTTTGGTTTTAAAATATCAACTTATAATTTAGGAGTATCAAACATGTATTAAAAATTATTTTTTTAAATTAAAAAAAATGTTATTCCAATGCTTTACACGTATTCAAAAAATATTAACAAATGTCGATATCAGATATATTGCAAACACAGATTCATGAAGCAGTTTGAAGCATAGTTGCTTGTGAGCTTCACAAATATGGTCCTTACATTTCGCCCAGCTTTCTCTGGCTATTCTTTTTATTTAAAAAAAAAAAAAGTGCATATACGTCGTCCGTGTCACTCTCTGCAGTTTGTACACGCGGATCGCTCCGGTCGCCGGCGACAATGGCATGTCAAAGCCTCTGCAAATCAAGAATTGCTACATGTCTGGGCAGGACTAGCAATTCTCTGTCTGCGATTTGCAGTTGTCACCGTCATCGTCTCCATTCTTGTGACGCTTCTCCTTCCTCCTACCCTCATCATCTTTCTTCCTTATCCTCATCATCTTCTTGCTTCCTCAAAGCCCATACTATATTCTTTTCAATTCCCTCAACAGCTCCAAGGAGGACTCACCTCTGCTTCCTGCAACATCCACACCACCACCGTAGCTTGCTCTGGTGCCTGAATTACAGTAATGCTGCAAATGCCTCGGTCGATACTGGTACTGAGGGTTTGGGTAAAAGGTACCTGGAATTGACGAACGAAGAACTCATGCGGCAGTGCGAGATGGATACCTTCAAGTCTTCTGGTCCAGGTGGTCAGCACCGAAACAAGCGCGAGTCTGCGGTTCGCCTCAAGCACCTTCCCACTGGTATTATTGCTCAGGTTATTTTCCATTTTGTCCTTTCCCATCTATCGCCTTTACGATTTCGTTTTGAAACTTATTCACTTGGATTTCATTCTAGGCTGCTGAGGATCGATCACAGCACAAGAATCGTGCATCTGCCTTGACTCGCCTCCGTGCTCTGATAGCTCTTAAAGGTATATCAGTGCCTCGCCTTTCCAATTTGACTGTGTTTAATTTACAATCCTGAAAATCTTGGGGGTGTCTTCTTGTGTTGTTATGCATTAACTGAAGTTAAAAGAGTTCTTACTTCCTTTTAGGATTTTCTCGTATTTGTGACTAACTTGACCAAAATATGTTTACTTTATACTGATATTTAACAATGATTTTGCTGATGGATATAAATTAATCTCTTGAGCTAGTCAGGAACACTTTGGATCTCGATGCTTATTCACCACCTCAAGAGCTTCTGCAAATACTTCCTGCTAAGTCATCCATTAGAGGATCAGATTGTGGTCCTCGAATTGGACCAAACAACCCAAAATTTGTCCTCGTATGTCTCTTTATGCAATGTGCACAGGATGTCTTTCTATCCGTTAGTTACTGCTCATTTCTTCTTTTTTCTCTTATAATAATCAATGAATTTGCTAGTTAGCCACAAGACATAATAGGGTTAGAGAGAACCATGTAATAGTTGAGGTCCTTTGCCACAGGGAATGCAAGCTTTGTTGGATCTCATTTTTGCAGTTGAGGGATCTATCTCGGAAGCTGCAAAGTTTCTCGGGTATATTTTTTGCTTAAATATTTTTGCTTTTTTGCTATAAGTTATCACTTAGAAATTGGATATAGGATGATGAAGAAATTGATATTTAAGTTGAAATGAATTGAAAGTTATTGAAGAAAATACATAATGTAGTTCAATAAATACAAGCATTTGATGCCTGGTTCTTTAGGCAATCCTTGTACAATGAAGATTTGGTTTAGAACTGAGGGCGATATATTGCAAGGCTGACTTTCCCGTTAGACTTATCAGAATTTTTCATGTTTAATATGATATTAATTTAAATATTGCAGATTAAGCACTGGGGCACTGTCACGGTTGATCCTATCAGATGATTCTCTTAGAATGGCAATAAATGAGTTTCGGGCATCAAAGGTAAACTTAATGATGGCTTCTTCAGAATACAGCAGTAATTATCTAATTTGTACAATAGTAGGGTGTTACTTCTTCAGAATACAGCAGTAATTATCTAATTTGTACAAGAGTAGGGTGTTACTTTTTTGAACAAAAAATTGACCTCCTCATTTTGGGGGTAATCAGCGAGCAAAAATGTGAGCCGTAGTGAAATATAAGGAAGGGATTTGTCTGGGTGTACTAGCAACATTTCTAGATATAAAATGCAAAGGTAAGTGGTCACAGGTTTTATTTATTTTAGTAAGAGACAAAAATATTATCCGGGAGAGGGAAGGTGCAAATAAAGAGAATACTTCAAAGCAACACAGTTGTCCTATATCAGATGTTAGGGGTTATAAAGAGAATACTCCAAAGCAAAACTATTCTGTTCTATCAGACCTAAGTGTCGAGAAGAACTATTGAAAGTATTGGCATTTCAATATGACACACTTAGAGTTTACCATAAGCACCAACTGATTCACTCCCCATGGAAGTAGCTGCAAGTTAGAACAGATGGGCAGCTGTTTCAAAGCCAGAGTACAACACTTTTCACCAATGGAACTTTTTTTTACCTTCAAATTAGATTTATATAATTATTATTCCAGATGAAGGACTTAGCCTATGAAAGAGCTTGGGAATTCAAGTGTGTTTAATCTGGAAGAATAGGAAGAAACTATGGAATTCTTAAAGGGTTCAAGTGGGAGAAAGTTCTGTTTCAAGAGTAGTGGATGGAATTGAAAACGGATTTAATGTATACTCAAGGAGCAAAGGGTCCTGAATCCTGATGCATCTATCTATATTAAGAGATAAATGAAGAGAATCTACCAAGCACAAGAGGGATTGTAATTTGAAATTTTGACATTAGTCTATTATTTAATCTTCTTGAAGGATGGAGATTATATGAAAGTATTGGAGCCGTGAGTAACTCTAAATTTATCATTTTCTGTCGTTGAAAGGAGTGGTCACTTCAACATCTATTGCCATTTATGTTGTATGTTTACAATTAAAAAATGTACCTTTACATTGCATCCTAATTGTCTCGTAAAAGCTTTATTTGAATAACTCAATGTACTCTTTTCCTTCAGCCTATCCAAATGTGCTTCTTCTAAAGGTACATGATGGGTTTGAACCTAAGATTACTTGCTAAATTATACTCCTTGCCATTGGACCACCACCTAGCGGCTTAATAAGCTCTTATATTTGCATTGCACCAGCTTTTTGCTTTTCTATGATCTGTCTTTACTTCCTGAAAAGATCTACACTTTTGACAACTAGCAACAACGAATCTTTTTTATGGATCATTAACAGGGTATGAAGCCTCTTAGGTAGGAGCTCTGAAATTTTTATTATAGATGCAGGTACAGTTTACTCTCTCAATTTTTTAGAGTCAAAGTCTAGAATTTAATTATGGGAGAAACAAAACATGAAAGTGCGGGTTGTATGGAAATTGGATGCATCATGGAAAATTACATTTTCATCCACAATTCAATTTGAAGATATCAAGTTGTTTGGAAAATTTTTAATGTTCGTATGTTGGTTCTATTAACTTTTAGAAGTTTTGGTTTAATCATAAATAATTCAGCTTGTTTTAGGTTTACTTGATTGACTTTATGTTCTTTTCCAGTTCATTTCATCTGCATAGTTTGCTCTACCATAATTATAGTTAAATGGTTCTATTTGGTTTCAAATCTTGACCTTGAGATCTCTCCCTTTTATATTTCATTGAATATATTAGTCGTTTGGCACAAGTTAAAGCCATTTTTGGGCCAATCAGCAGTTCTCAGTTAATATAACATTAACAACTTGGTCTTGAAAACTCCACAGGCCATCGGATGGTACGAGGAGATTAATGGGAGGAAACCAAAAAGTTGAGAACTTGAAAGCTCACCAGGCCGTCGGCAAATTGTTGACTGATGCAGATTCGGTGCCATGATAATTCAAATGGTCTGAACAATTCGGTGTTCTGCATTATTTGAGATGACTGTCATTGTCCTCCAAACAAACCTTGAAGAACTCGAACTCGAAGGCCTTGGGCACTAAATTAGGTGCTTTTCCCTTGCTTAGAAACTCTTGTCTGCTTCCTCCGTCAATCCCAGTTCATCTGGGTGAAGTTGATCGTATGGATAGATATATAAAGTAACTACTGATCCTTTTAACAAAGCGCGGCCAGTTCTATTTTCTAGATGTAACTGACGAATGATGTAGATTCCGTTGTATACGAAGCTCAAGATTGCTAAGGTCTAGTTTAATCATGTGGCATTGTTTATGATTAGCGGAGCCGTCGAGGCCCAGTATTGTTCCATTCTCAAAACAATGGATCGAGCCCCAAAAAATAAATGGACCCCATTTTACCGCAAATACAACGGTTACGAAAGCAAACCCAACAGAAATCAAACTTTCTTCTCCTTTCTCCATTCGAATCGTGGTAGTAATATTGCTCTTTTTACTGACTCTGTTTTCCTTTTTTTTTTTGGGGTTACATTATAGCAGCTTTCTATTCACATGTTAATTTGAAGGGGAAAAAAGTTAAATTGATGTCGAAGGATTAAATGACGTGATTCTCTCTAATTTGTCTTTTTAATTTAAAAATGTATAATAGAAGACAGCAAGAGTACTGGTGCAATGCGGCAATGAGATATGTTACCATATCATATCCTATTTCTATGAAGACCAAATATGCTTTTGAAGTTTCTGAGCACGGTTCACAGAATCACAGGAAAGATTTGATGCCAAAAGATGTCTGAGCGTCAAACATAACACGACCACGAGTTAGTTTCATTGTCATCTACAAGTTCTTCCAGAAATTACAATTTGCCTTGCCCCTCTTCCTTTCTCTAAAAACTTCCATCCTCCAAGAATGAAACCACGCACACAACAAAAAAATCTAGGGCAAAAACACTAGATTACTTTACACATTAGTTATTAATCAGCATCAAGCGTCAATGACCAGGAGAATGCAGTTTTTCCCAGTACAAAACCCCTCAAGACTGATTACACCAGCATTTTTTCCTGTCCTGTTAGGGATATCTAAAGAAAATCACATTTATGTGGGAGCAGAAAAGTGAAACGTAAGTTACAAAAGAAGAAAAGAATCATCAGTCAAGAAACCCGTCAGAGCATATATCATGCTTCTTTCGGCAAGTTTGAACCTTCCTCCTCTTCTGGCGGAGGCTTCACATACTTGCCTATCACTTTCTGATGATGTCGCTTCCTCATTCGGTTCAGTTTCTCAATACTTTTCTGCTTCCTTTTCTCCTTCTCCTTGTGCCGTAGATTCCTCTCTCTCTCATATACACCGTGCCAGAAAACTTCCCCTGTTGATGGCCACAACCAATGGCTGTTGGTAGCTTTAGAATCTGATAACTCTGCCAGGTCCTCATCCATGCTCTTAAATGTGGTGTATGAGAACCATTTGATCCACATATGCCCTCTACGGTTCTTGAAGTTGTGTTGTTCCTGCATTAGACCAGTCTCAGGATTCACATACACAATCCTCCTGGCACTATGGTATGCCCATACATTTACAAGAAGCTCAAGGAGCCGCGAATAGCAATGCTTATCCTGCAGTATACAAATTTATCCATATATTAAGAGAGGAGGCAAAATAAGCAGCAAGTGTAATAATGTAATCAAGATTTTATTCAATTTGTAAACTCTTCTCTTTAAGGGTTCGTAAATGGACTAAGACTAGATCACTGTAATTCTAGAAGTATCTAATTTGAGACCTCAACTTAAACCCTCATGAGAGCAGCGAAAATTTTCTGACCCAGTATTTTCGAAGTGCCAAGATGGCATTTGCCCCAAAAAATGGGGAAAAATAAGAACCAAGATGACATACACATCATTGGCTAATCCAGCAGATTTTAGGGATCCTTGAATGAAGGTTAGATACAAAACCAAATTAAAATTTAGCAAGACCTTAAGAACTGAATTACATACTCAAAAACTTAAGGGACCAACTTGAAAAATAAAGACTGCAGGAAATATTACCGCAATAGCACCAAAATCAAAATAGCATGTGTTTACAAGAAGCGACATAGCATAAGCAATAACAAGCAATTGTCGCCATTTACATATCAATCCATACATTAGGACAATGCCAACAAAGTAAGCAATAAGAAGCTTAATAAGGTAGTTAAAAATAAATAGAACCGCATGCATTTTTCTACTTTGAAGCATGTAATTTAGATTTTAATAGCTTCCTCTCTCGGCCAGGCAAACTCCACCCCCACGGCCCTGCCCTTCTAGTTCTGGGTAGTGAACTGGAGAATTTAGAACTCAACTTGAAAGGTCATTTTACTCAATCAACACGCTCTTTGAAATGGCTGTAGGGAATTATTTATGAAAAAAAAATTCTTTTACCAATATAACACAAATATTATGATGAATTATGACAGTGTAAGGAATTTAGAATGATGTGTAACAAGGAGTGTAAGGAATTTAGAATGATGTGATGGTAATGCAAAACAACAAATTTCCATGAAATTAAAGTACAAGGAGAAGATCATTAAAACAAGTGGTATTAAGAACTAGACTGAAATGGTAGGTTGGATCGGAAACCAGTGAACTAGTCACTGGCTCGGTTCAGAGAATCAGGTGAAATGGCTTAAAAGAAACTGGTCAAAACTGATGCTTCAACTAGTTCAAACAGGTTTTTTTTAATTTAATTATTTTTTAAGCTATGATTTATATTTAATGTATACATATGCCTAATAATCAATGGTAAAGGAAGGCGGCCAATGAACAATTGTAAAATATAATATATATATATATATATATATAATGAAATCAGAGATTATAAAATAAGCATGCATTATAAATATTTTAGATAGCATAGTTATTTTGTTATTTTTATAGAAGTGAGTAAAGATCTGAAATAAAAATATAATTTAAAAAGTTAATAACATTTTATGGTTTATAAAATATTTATTAAAGTTAATAAATTATATTCTTGTCTCAGATCTTTACTTCCTTTAATTTTTTAATAAATTTTAATGTTGTTTGTTCATTGGAAATCAATTTTATTCTTATGTTTATCTTTCTTATTCAAATTAATTAGTATATAATTAAAAATATATTATTTTAACTGTGGCTGGTTCAACTATGGTCCAACCATTTAACTATGACAAGCCATCATTTCAATGGCTAACCCAATTTTTAATACCTTAATAAAAACACACGATGCAAAAAGTACCAATTTTTAAAGGAGTAATTTACTTTTGACAAACTCAAATAGCAGCGTCCACTCGAATGGTGTTCACCGTACACCTGTACATCCAATGCATCAACAAACATTCTGCACAAAAGATTGCTTCCATCAGTTATTCAAAATTTTAACAAGCTGCGGACAAGAGCAGATCAAATCGCTTATTAACAAACCAGGGACATCCACTGGTGCAATCTCTAATACCTTGAGAACATTACAAACTCAAGAAAGGATCTCGTAGGCAAGGCCCAACTCTGCATGACAGACCAAGTGTCGCCATCTACTGGCATTGGTGGTAATGAATCCAGATCATCTTTTATCCCATACATTATCTTCAATGCCTCAGAGAAAGCAAACCTTTACTCGAACATCAAGGGGAATAAATCAAGATATATCTTTAAATATCGAAGGCAAAGGACCTAAACTACCAAAGTAAAGGAAAAGCACACAATGCCTTTAAAAGGGTCTTACTTGCAATTTCCTGCATTGATGGCATCGCAAAATGACCAAAAGTCATTCTGCAAAGGTTTTCGGGGATCCTCATCCATACGAACCCAAAAGTATAGTGCATCCCCATACCTTTGGGATTGTATGGAATCTAATAGTGCGTTTTCAGCAGTTCTGGACAAAAATGCCTGCCAAAGACCCATCTAGACGTCAAACAACCCAGAAAAAAGACACATGTGATATATAACTTTTCGATTGTCTGATTTATGTTGTTGCATTTGACCTGCATACAGAGTTTATGACATATGAAATGACAGGAGAATAAAACCTACACATTAAATGTTTCGGTACAAACTTTACGCTTTTTCATTTTCTTATTCATTTCTTCAGCTAGCAATTTAAAAGTACTTTATCCAAGAAGGTGACAATTGCTTGTTTTCAGATACTTTACAGTATACACAATGATATCTGTATCCATATATAGTTAACTTAAAGGTAGATAGACAACCAGCATCAGAGCCTTCAAAATTAAGATGAAATTACAACATGGATGGGGGGGGGGGAATTAGTAATTAAAATTTCAATTATTTCAGCAGAAGGGAAATAGTGTCAATGACTAGGCCAAAGAAATTGCATACCTTCCTTGCAGATGCTCTCCAAGACTGAAACCCAATCCAAGCATTCTTATGTATACGGTCTATCCTATTTGCAATGGCAAAAAGGGCTCCATAGTCACCAAGTATGTCTCGATAGTAAGGATTATTGAGGAGTGGAAGACGAGATGGTGCATCGACATCATCTCTACCCGATCTTCGACCTTTAGTGGACTGCAAAATTCAGTATATACCAACCATTATGTTAATAAGTAGCTACTCATTTTTATTAAATTCTGATTAGAGGGGGAAAAAAAACTATTACAGAATAGTTGAGGCATAGTCAACCTAAGCCCAGTCAAAATTGTAGCTAGAAGTGGAGAATAAGTACAATGAGGAACAAAACAACAAAAAACAAATCTTATTCCACTAGATGGGGTCGGCTACAGATTGCGCAACACCATTATGCTCTATCATTTATTAAGTTTTTAGGAATGTTATTAATTACGAGATCTCAGTCAACAACTTCCACAAGTGTTCTTCCTTTACCCCTCTTTACAGGGCTCAAATTATCTGTTCCGCTCTCCTTACTGGTGCCTTCCACAATCTTCTCTGTACATGTTCAAATCATCTCAAACGATTTTCTATCAATTTCCCCTTAATAGATGCCACACCCACTTTTTCTCATATATGTTTTGGGATTTTATCTTGTTGAGGAACAAGAAATTAAAATGTCTACCACATCAAAGCTAGCCAATTAGAGAAGATAAACAAGGCATGAATATATATGAACCTGGACTAGGCATCACAAGGACCAGTTAAATCAAAAGAAGAAAATTTACTTCAGCTAATATTATTACTGACATTTAATATGCTGTAGTTATAAAGAACATTTCTTATTTGAAAGGAGGAAAGGGTGATTCTTGGACTGATATAACAACTTATTAAGTTGATAAAATGACAATATATGCACAACTTACCAGCCCAATTCCACGGTAAAGAGATCTATCATGCAGAAAAGGCCAGGTTCCTTCCCCAAAGTAAGGTTCATAAATAGTAAGTGGTTGACCTGTCCGCTCAAGTTCCCCCTCATCCCTTTCATGCAAATCATGCTTTGACCGATCAGCCCTTTTAGCATTTCGGTATACTTCCTCCCATGTTCCTCTTGACTGCTCTATTCTATCCTTTAGCTGCATTAAATTTCAAAGAACACCACTTAAATTTTGATTTGTTACGCATCCAAAGGGGAATGAATAAAGATTTACCTGTTCTTCCTCTCTTCTTCTTGTAATAGCCATCTGAATATTCTTTTCTTCTTCCCAAATTCTATATAAAAATGAATCATTATCAGCAACGGTAACACTAGATCTGCTTTTTTGAGGATGGTTCCATAGCTCCTCGTATTTATCTAAATATGTGTTACTTCTTGATGTGCTATTTTGATGTGTAAAATTTGAGACTGCTTCAAATAAATGCCACAGCCATTGCTCTTTAAGATTAGGAGAGATTTCTGATACTTCCTTCGGAAGAGCAACTTCAGATGGAAGATTGAGAATATTCTGAAGCAGATTGGCATATCTGTCAATGGTTTCCGAAACCAAAAGGTTCTTGGAAGTAGTTCTCCCTATTGAGGCAATATTACGAGCTAGTGGTGATATTTTCCCTTTCGAGATCACTTCCAACATAATTTGTGTCAAAACCCTGCTGTTCTCCTTGGGAAAAATGTAGCCATTCACCCTGTCATCAACCTAGATGTTGGCACTACAGTTATTACTTTGCTAAGAAATATGCACCATAAAATATTGATATTCAAAATATGAAAACTACAAATTGTTTAGTTAATGATTGATGCAAAGAATGACATAAATGTCAATCTAAATAGACCATAGAAGAGACATACATATTTCCTGATCATGGGAATATCTGGGGCAATAACTGGTTTTCCGAAGCACATTGCTTTAATCAAAATCTCTGGAAAAGATTGCTCTTCAAGGAATGATCCATATATCACGATATCAGCTGTGTCAAGAACAGAGTCTACATTCAAGTCTCCAGCTATGTGCCTTATAGTGCCACTTGGATATTTCAAGGCGCGAACCATAGTCTATTGAAACAGAATAAGGGACAAAACCTTAGAAATATCTACCCACAAAAATAAGGATAAAAGAACATAGTATACATACCTCAAGAGCTACACTGTAGTTAGTTGATGATTCGCCAGTATGAACAATGATTTGTAGATGTGCGCTAGAATTATCTTTGTTTGACAGGAATTCTGCCAGAAGTGGTGACAGAGCCTGTAAAACAATAGCATGCCCCAACCACGAACCTTTGTGAAAAAATTGGCTTCCGACAATTGCAATAATGACATCTTCAGGGTCAAAATCCATCTTGTTGCGCAGATTATCTTTCTTTAATGCCATAAAAGAATCTGCTTCTATTGATTCAGCAGGAGAACCGGGAATGACAAAAAAATTTCCAGCATCAAATATGGAGTAAAGCATCTGTGTAATTACAAAGGAAACATCAATCACCAATGACAAGTTATGCTCCACAATTCTAGTCAATACACAGGATCTTTTAAATAAGAATTAATACCTAGGATACTGGTACCCAATATTAAGATTATATTTAACTACTGATTCATACTTGTTCTTTACTGGTAAAGAAGGAATTAACAACAGGGAAAAACAGGCCATAGAATTAATGAAAACTTGTCCTCCATTTGAGTGGTTAGGTGGGTTACAGTTTGGGGGAAATAGATGAATATATAACTTGCATGTGCATATTACCGGCAGGGCATAGTTTGGGAAAACAACAACTGTTGATCGGTTGAAGGCTCTTCTCCAATCATTCAAAAGTTCACCCTGCCCATTTATTGTATATTTTCTTGCACGATGTGCTAGAGCATTTTCATGAATAATCCATATAAGAGGTATAGACTTGAAGGGTTCCTGCAAAAAGCTGTGACAACTAGAATTATTCAAGTGACTTGAATAAGATATTGAAATCTCCATGCACATACAGTACGAGGTGAGTGCATGTTTAGTAATACATCAGAGTTTCATAACTTCTAAAACAAATAACTTTAGCCATCTCTTGACCCTTCCCATGCATGTTGCATAAGTAAGTATCATTAACAAAATTTCCAAACAGGCATGCAAAATAGACAACGATTCATATAAACCAGACTTAAATTATAAAATCGAACTATTTCTTTATATTTTTCATTAAATCAATCGTGATAGAATACGTGCAACAAAACAGAAATCATGTTATCTATATGCCATGCAATTTGAACACAAATTAGTCTAACTACCAGTTAGAATGCTGGGCCAGAGCTACTGGTAAAAGTTCACAATTTTGAGGCAGACAGACAATATTACGTCAACATGGTATGGAAGTTTACGTGTTAAAAGATAAAAGTACAAATTCTGGCATCACATCTTAAATGTTTAGTCAACCAAGCCTCTAATGCCGTTACAATGTAACCAGTACATCAGACAGCTTCTGGAGCTCATTTCAATCTATTTATATTATAAGACCAATAATCAGCAGTGAATCAATTGACAAGTCAGAAACTTGTCCTTCAAGAAATACAACAACAACAAGCCTTTATCCCACTAGGTGGGGTCGGCTACATGGATTGCAAGACGCCATTGTGCTCTATCATTTATCAAGCTTTTAGGATAAACTTGTCCTTCAAGAAATGAAATGAGATAAGTAGATTTTACCAAGAAAAAGCACCCTTGGCTTCGAGAGAGTTCACAATTACACCATCATAGCTGCAAAAGACACATTACTATCAGATGCAATTATCATTTGATAAATTCGAGTATTCAACCAAAATACTGCACTTTTCTCTATCAGGGACTTATTGAGAAACCAGCCCAAATGAAACCATCCAAAATACTTCACTCTATTGGGAACACAATGAGGAACTGCCCCTAGTGAATCACATGAATTGGATGTGAAATGACTTTAGAAAAAGAGAACTAAGGGAATACAGAAAATTAATCAAGGAACCAGGGCTCGAATTTGGAGATATTTTGACAATACATTATAATTTGGCCATAATTTTCTACTGAATTGTCATCACTAATCGAGTTAGAAGCAAGACAAATACAAGGAGCATCAATAGAAAGTTATATTTGGCCCAAGTTAAAGGGTTCTGATTTCTCAACATATCAACTCTTAAAAACATTCAAAATTTTTAACATGCTAATTATCAAAAAAAAAAAAATTGAACATGCTTATCCTAGTAGTTAAATGTTTTACATTAAGAATACCTTAGCCAATCTACCGTGTTCTCCAGCTTGTCACAAGTTTTAATAACAGTAGTGGGAACTCCTAAATTTATCCAAACATCACGCACTGGACCATCTTCAAGAGAAAAAACCTGCAAAACAAAGTACTCACTTGAACCCAAAACAATAATAACAAAATCAACCTAAAAACACCATATTCAGTTCGTGTAATATACCTTTAGAGGCTATTGGATACAAAGGAGGGAATGGAACATAAAGATGAATATAGAAAAGGTGATTTGGTAAATGAGATGTCTTTTATGAGCTTGAGTGAAACATCATAAAAATAAAGTTCAGCTCTTTCTATGTAATGATGACATGCAAGTAATAGATATAACATATTCAATTATTTATGCAAGAAAAAAATTAATGCTTCTAGTTGATGAATGGGAAAAAAAAAATAATAAGACAATGGCATGTCTCAATCCAATGTAAACAATAAGGTATGACGCACTTCTATTTCTGACAACTAGTGATAATTCTGCACAATTTCAAAAGACAACATTAGTCATCAAGTCATGTCACTAACGATTGGCATAAATCCTAGGCACATAGTAGCCTGTCCAGTCAGGGACCATTCTCTAACAACAAAAGGCGCAAATTTTAAAACAAAAGTGACACAGAGGCACTTGTCAAGCATGACTCCCTATGCATGGCAGACTTGCTGCTCCAAGAATGAACGCCTCAGACCTTAATATTCAAGTGAGGCGTTTTGTACTAGCAGAGTGAGCGTACATGCAAATGAGAACATTTAATTTGTACTTCTTTCCTCTTCCAGATATAAAATACTGTAGTCGAAGCCTTTCAATCCCATGATAGAGCAACTATCACAGACGCTCAAATTAGCAACTATTTAGGGACGTCCCCACTCCCCGCCCCCATCAAAAAATTATCGCCATCTACCGATGTTCAAATTACTTTTCAAATTAATGACGGAGAACAAATTGTAAATGCAGTACCTGAATTGTGTAGCCAATCTCTAGCAAAACAGATGCAATTGTTACCAGTAGCAATTGTTGTGAATCAACCAATAGTTCTCCAGATATCTTCAGGAAAAAAGTTGAAATCATATAAATTTAATTGTCCAAGAGGAAAATGAAACAAAATTATTGTCGGTGGGTATAAAAAAGATCATATATTTTTAAGGCTAATTAATTGTTAAACTTCATGTTAACTCAAAAGCCCTGAATTTCCGCAAACCTCACCCATTTTATTAAATTCGTAAGTTTATGTTTGACGAGCTTTGACCCACAATGAACATGAATTCATATTCTAAATAATAGAAGAGGTTTAGGTTGTATCACTGAGAAAAGAAAAACCAAATTAGCTCGCTAAAGAGCAAGAAAATGGCCATTACGAGAACTAACCAGCGCCAGCTGAGGCTTTCTATACCCGACATGTTGTCCCGTCCGGTTAAACGGATTCGCCTCCCTATTGAACTTCTCCGAAATCTTAGGCAGAAATCTTGTACCATCCTCAATGTCCAATACATACTTCTCTATATCTTCAAAATGCAATAGAGTCCCAGATAGCATCTTAGCTCTCAAGGAATCCTCTGATTTTTCAATTACCGAACTAGGTAGGAACATTTGGAAAACGACTATGAAAAATAGAAAGACAGCCACAGTGCAAATCCATTGGACGTAATCTAGTTTCTTGAAAAGCAAACGCGAAAAGCTCGATCTAAATCTCTGCGAGAATGGATTGTCTCTCCTTCTACTCGACTGAGACCCAAATAAGCTTCCCTTCAATGGGATTCCGGATTCCAAAGAACCCATTTAGAATCCCATCAATTAATTTGCAGCAAATTCAGCTTCCTAAGAGACGAAACTACATACTTCCAAGGAAAACCCCAGATGTAAACCTTCCAATGAGGTCGGAACACATAGCTTCCGGGAGCAATGAGAAGAACGTGAGAAAGAAGACAGGTCGCGATTCGAAATGGAGAAATGATCAAGAAGGTCGTGATGGGGGGAAAAAAGGATGGTCCGCAAGATTAGACAAGAAAAAGATTTGAAGTCGAAGTTGTTTTACTGTCAAGATTTGTCACATTGGATTGGAGTCAATGATTTTACTCGATAAGAAGATTTCGGGACTGGCAAGAGATGGATACGCACAAGACGAAGGCTCGGGAGCTGGGAGCTACGAAATCCAATTGAAAATGTATCCTCCGTTTTTTTCGTTGGCTGGAAATAGTACACTGGCGTCAAGCAAAAACAGCGTCACCACCTACGCGTAATTAGCAAGTTAATATGAAAATAAGTGGGATTATTATGGCAAAAAAAAAAATTGAATCAAAAAGAAGTTTTAATTATTATTTTTTTTATGAAAGGCTAGCAGGTAGGTCCAGAATTTTAAATTAATGATAATTAAGTCTCAAAATTAAAAAAAAATAAATTAAAAATGTTAATATAGATAATTATAAATTTAAGAGTTTTAATTATAAATAAATATTTAAGTATCAAATGTGATTCTTAAATTGTAATAAAAATTTTTATTTATAATATAAATTTTTATTTATAATTATTTAAATTGAAATTTATAATTTATTAAAGCAAGAGAATAATCGCCTAACTTAACAACCTATTTAAATTTGTTTTTACAATAATTTAGAATTTAAAAAATGATATTTTTTAGGAAAACAATGCTTTAAAACCCAACCAAATTCTAATAAGCTCTAAAAAAACAAACTTAGGTTTGAGCAATCTTTTTAGACCCTTCTTCAAATATTATAATTTATATTTTAAAAATATGAAATATTATAATCAAAGTTTTTGATTTTTCTAAGAATCCAAAAAATAAAATACTAATAAAAATGAGCTTATAAGATTGGCCTTAAGCCCTTTAAATTATAAAAAAAAAAAGTCAAACTTTAAAAATTAGTCATTTAAAAAAAATTGAGCTTAAAAGTTAAGCTCATATTAGTCCAATCTTTATGAACTAAGCTCACCTATTTCTTATCTCTACAATTTATTTAGAAAAAAATTTTATTAAATTTAACTGTCATTAATTTAATTTTTTAAAATTGAATTGTTATTTTTTATTTTTTAATGAATTTATCTATTTATTGGTAAATACCTTTTTTTGACATTAAGGATTTAATCTTTATCACCATCCCACCCTTCAGCCAGCTTAGTGGTTTCTTTGTAAGTACTTTTAAATTCAGATGCACACGTACACACATATAATCATATATAGAGAATTCCTAATATTATTTACACAAATAAGTTTTAAATATGCTTGCTGTCAATAAAATTAAAATTCTTATTTTACTCAAAAAAATTAAAATTCTTATATTACTTGTGATAAATGCGATCAACAACTTGTTTGCTTTGTTTTCTCTTGTATAAAAAAATATACAGTAAACAAATGAAGAAGCTTGATGTACATCTTGTTTGAAATTTCCCAGCGATTAAGATGAGTAAACAAGCATATTTTTTTGTTTTTTATATAAAAACATGATTACATATCTGTTAATTTTTTTTGAATTAAATCATTTTTTTAATTTAATTGATGCTTAATTTTAAATTTTTATTAAAACATCCTTTTTAACACTCCAAAATTTTAAACTGATTTTTTGTGAAACATACAATTTTACCACTCACTTTATCCACTAAATTCATAATAAAAAAATATCTATCATGATAGTAAAGGGTAACCCTAATATTTATCATGGTAGAAAAAACTTTAAATAATAATTTCAAACTCTACCATGATAGAAATTAAAGGAGATACTATGATAATTAAAAATTAAAATCATTTTTTTGTAAGGTTTACCATGATAAAAAGAGTTTTTCTTACAATATAATATTTCTGAAATGGGCTACTATGGTAAAAAGGATTATACATAGTAATGAAGTTAAACTTATTAAAAAAAAAAATACCATCATAGCTTGGAGAAGAACTATGTGTATTAGGGAAAAGTAATATTTTAGTCCTTATAGTTTCATGTGATTGTTAATTTGGTCCTTGTAGTTTTAATTTTTTTAAATCATTCCTTATAATTTCAGTCATTTAAACCGATAATCCTAAGCCTTTAAATTATTATGAAATTAACTTAACAGAGTCCAACTCAGCATGACATTATTAATTTGAAGCCAACTCAACATGACACATTAAAATCTGTTGAGTCAGTGCTGAAAAGAAATAAAAATTCACCAGTATAAATGTAAGGGAGGCTTTACTTTAAACGCAATGCAGACGATAGAATCCTAAGGTTTTGATGTTTCTCCTCTCAAGAGCTTCATGATACTTCTAAGTATTTTGTAATTGATCTCATCTGAGTGTTTTCCTCTTCCTTTCTGTGATATCGACAAGAGATTGTGGCAAAGTAATACTATGAAAGAAGAGTCTAGTAGAGGATAAAGTTGCATATAAAGAAGAAGAAATCAATAAAAGATAACTTATTGTAAGTAAGGGTTATATTCTATTATCGAAATTTCAATAATTCAATGTCTATAATTGTCATTAATATTATTATAAGATTTCTAATTGTGTGTTTTCCCTAATATTTATTGAAATTGAAATAATATGTAATTTTCAATAGGCTAAAATTCAAAAACCCTTTGAATTTTAAGAAAGTTGTATATGATCCTCATCATCTTTTGACGTTTAAAATTAATCTCCCAACATTTTATTTTGTTTTTCAAAACCCCATGTTGTTAATTAAATTTATTTTATTAATATAGCTATGGCCATGTCATATCAATGCAATACACATGGCACATGACATGAAAAAAAATATTTTTATTATTTTTTAACAAAATTTAAGGAGGTATAAGATTATAATTTTTTCTTTTAATATACATGATGGTGCTTTTCTTTTCTTTTTTCTTTTAGTTGAGCGACACTGAGAACATTGTACATGGGCAATACAACTTAAGAAAAAAATTATAATTTTATTATTTTTATCACTAAGAGAAAAATATATAAAAGCTATAGTTGATAAGAGTTATAAATTCGTTATCTACTTTATGCATTTTTTTCATACTCTTATTTGTTTGTAGTTGTTATTTTTTTAATGAAATTTCAATACTTATTCAATAAAATATGTTATCAGTATGTTACAAATGGAATGTGTACTGCTTTAAAATAAGATATTTTTTAACTATTGGTAATTTGTGTCGATTTGTGTAAAAACAACTTTTAAAAATGTCAAGTTATTCTTGTATTAAAGGATAAATTCTTATTTATATGATTCCTATCAATAATAGTTTTTATAACTTTTGTTTGTTTATATAAAAGGATGTTTTAATTGATAAAAAATAATAAAATTATAATTTTTCTCTTAAATAGTATCACTCACAAACAATGAAAATAATGTTGCTCAACTAAAAGGAATGAGAGTATCATCATGTGCATTAAAAGTAAAAATTATAATTTTACCTTTCCTTAAATTGTGTTAAAAATAATAAAAATATTTTCCCCATGTTATTTTTCATGCGTATTGCATTAATATGACTGACAATAATTATATTAATAAAATAGAAGTTAATTAATGATAGAGAGTTTTGAAAAATCAAATTAAAAATTAGAGGTTTAATTTTAAACATAGAAAAGTGAAGGTGGCCATATGTAATTGTGATAGGAATTAAAGGAGGAGTCAGAATTCAATATTTAATATCTTTGTTTTGTTGTAGGGCATTGAAGGACCAATAATTAGATCCAAAGCTAAGAGGATGAAAAAAGCCTTAAATTCATTAATTAAAGATGTTTTAAATGATTAAGAAGTTTTAAGGGTGAATGAAGTTATAGAAAACTAAAGAAAAACTCTTAATATATTGAGTCTAACTCAAGATATTCAAGCCCATAAATTCAATTAGTTTAGTTATTATTAGTATTTTCTTAAATTAAAAAAATTAGTTATTTTATTTTATTGTAAATTTAAGTTTAAGAAAATTAATTTATTTAATTTAATTTAAATAAGAATAAATGTATTTATTAGGATATAATCTATCCATTCAAACTCTTAAATTAACTAAAATTGCATCATTTAAGTTTTTTAAAAATCCATTTAAACAATTCAGCCTTTGTTTTTTTTATTTGGATTTATGAATTAATTTTCTTTTAATTGTTAGTTGTTTTCCATAAGATAACACATCATGAAATTTCATATTATTGTAAGCTACCTGTCACGGGCTGAGAGCTGGCGCAGCAACACGGCGCCCGTGCGGCGTCCTGGAGGACCCCATAATCCTCAGGACAAGCCTTTACCACGTACGGATCACACTGGTTTCGCCCTGCCATGGGCTCATCAGGGAGGCGGCACTAGCCCCCGACCAGTTGTGCACACAGTCCGAAGACTGAGGCAGAACACCCCCCAATGCTAATGTCGCCCCTTTACCCATATTGTGCGAGGCTAACCATCGGACCGTCATTATCTTGGTCTTTACACGGTCACGGAAATATCATTCGTGACATGCTCCAACACCCAATCTAGCACGCCTCGTGCTAGGGGAGAACGACTCGCCCAAGGTGTACGTACAGTACTGCCACAAACAACATCAGCTTACTTGCTGAGTGGCCACCCAGTCCTGCACTCTTCGGACCCACTCGCACCGCGAGCCAACAGGAGTGGAGTCGACAACGGCCAACCATCCCGCCCGAGTCCCCACTTTGGACCCACCTGCTCGGAGGCCTTTCTGGAGCGGTGCCGAGGCCGACCAGTCCCAAACGTGGGACCCCACGCGCACACGGCAGTAAAGTACGTCCTGCTCTGATACCACTCTGTCAGGGCTGAGAGTCTGGCGCAGCACACGGCGCCGTGCGGCGCCTGGAGGACCCCCTAATCCTCAGGACACAGCCTTACCACGTACGGATCACACTGTTTCGCCCTGCCATGGGCTCATCAGGAGGCGGCACTAGCCCCCGACCAGTTGTGCACACAGTCCGAAGACTGAGGCAGAACACCCAATGCTAATGTCGCCCCCTTTACCCAATTGTGCGAGGCTAACCAGCGGACCGATCATTATCTTGGTCTTTACACGGTCACGGAAATATCATCCGTGACATACCGCTCACCTGACTCATCAAATTGCCTCAAAATTAAAGGAATTTTATACATTTTAACCTTGCCAAATATATAATAGTACCCTGAACTTGCCCACTTTAAAGATTAACCATAATGTCAATTGACAAATTAATCATGAACACCTCGATGAATTTTAAATAAATCATGAATACCTCTATGAATTCCACATATATACATTTACAAATGTCTCAATACTATCCCATACATCTTGTGTACCCTACCCGCGAAATTATACTGTCATCGACCATGACTGCGAATGGAAAAATCCAGAACACAATTAACGAGCACTGTACAAAGTGGGTAATTATTTCAAGGCCTAGAATGCGATTCATTTCTGAGCGTTTATGGAAATATGGCCGAAGGATAATGAAATAAGCATGTAAGTGGATAAAGTGCAATCTACACCCATACTATAAAAAAAAACTGAAGTGAAATCTCCTTCATCATGCAGTAGCTGACAATGGGGCATCTGTGCAGGGTCGCTACTCAGGAGACGGAACCAGACTTCAGTTTGAGAGTTTTCTGCTTGGTAAAGAACACCGATAGCATGCTTTTACTGCGAATATGGGTCTGGACAAATCTCACGCCGATTTTGGTTGTCAAATGACTTGAATGTTGTCAAAGGTTTTCGAACCCTCCAATGCACCTGCAAATCAGGCCCACAATGACCTCTATTATAGTAAATCTTTTTTCACAGAAGTAAAGGAACATAAAAGTATCTTGTGTTCATGCAAAATGAATAGCTTCGTCATTCCACTATACCATCTCTAACATAGACCAAATGAATATTTGGACAAACCCAATATTTGGATCCATTCGCCAAACTAAAATTGTAGTTGCCATCTTATTGGTTGTGCGACACCCAATGAAGCCCTAGATACTTACCCTGAAACTAACATGTTCCTCAATTTTCTGCAAATTACAATTTATTCTCTCAAAGTAAATAAACCCTCCTGCTATTATAGGTCTTCAAAATATCTCCACTAGTATAAGAACGCCTAGTGGTCAAACAAAGGATTTCCTATAAAGATTGGACTACATCAGGGATCATCTCTGAGTCCTTATTTGTTAACTTGATTTTAAATGTTTTGACGAATATATTCAAGAGGAAAATCCCGAAATGTATGCTCTTCGCGGATGATATAGTTCTTATAGCAGAGACAAGAGAAGAGGTTAATTGCAAACTTGAGTTATGGAGGAGGACATTGGAGTCGAAATTTAAATATTCCCAATTTACTTTTTTGAAGAACGTGAACTCCCTTTCAAGGTAGAATTGGTTTCTGAAGCTAAATGCCATGAAAGAGTTTTTGCTGCAGGGATTCCTACATAAAATAAACATATGTTTGAATGAAACAATGTTATATATACTTGCCAACTCAAAAAAAAAAAAAAAAAAGAGCATACATCAAAGCCAATGCCATAATCTTTAGAAAGGAATAAAATTTCCCCAACCACACACCTGAAGGTCGAGTGCGTGCTCTAGTTTGAAATTGATTTTTCCTTGCATCAACTTGTATTTGTGAACTGAAATGCACTTTTTATTGACAGAGTCTAGCATTGCATTGTTAAAAGAAACAGACGCATTCATCATTGAAATCAAAGATACAGATCTACAGCATGAATAATTACTTCAAGATGAACATGAAACCAGTTAATCCTACTTGGCAAGATGTAGTGCTTATGATGCCTGGGAATGAAAGCTAACAATTGCTGCTGCCCGAAGACCTTCTTTATCAGTGTAAATTTGGCACGTAAGAAGTTGCTGCCAGTAAAGAAATTAATTAACCTCAACTCCCATTGATAGCTGGCTACCAGAACATGGCATCTCAAGCAAATGGTAATTACCTGATTTAGGGTAGAGACCTTCAAGTCAATGGTTGAGGCATCCAAAGTTTGCTGTTCAACAAGATCGGTTATTTGTATGCTACAGTTCCAAGATGATCAACAGCATTCACAAGGGCTCGTACAGCATAATCTTTCAGGTTGTCAAGTACCCTGGTCAGTATATAAGATTCATCTAAGAAAACAATAGTGCAGTTCGAACACAAAAAAAAATACACATATTTAACCATACATTTTCGATTAACTAATCACAAAATTTTCTAGGGTACATATTATGATCAAGGATCTGGTTTTAGAGGACCACATGCTGTGAAATTCAATCTCTCTCCCTCTCTTCTTCGTAGCTTCCTCCTCCTCAAAGCTTATCCCTTCACTGGCACTGAAATCCCACAATTGACCTTTATAGCATTGACTCCCTAGATCTCATTCACTTTCTCAATCAACTTGGTCCTTCATCACTCATTTACACTCCTTAATTACTTCTAGTTCATCATCATCCTCCATGGCTGAAGAGAATCACCACCGCTGCGACCTCTTCCACCACAAGAAGGATGACAATGACAAGCCCCTTGATTCCTCCAACTCTGACATTGCTTATGGTTGTGACAAGCCTTCTTCCTCTTACTCCTCCAACAACCCCTTCAATGGCCACAGTTACACTGACTCTAGTTACAACAAGACAAGCTACTTTTGCCGATCAGCCATCTAGCGGTTACAAAAGTGGCGGCAGCTATGGAGGCACCAAAGGTTGGTACGGTGAGACTGAGAAGGTCAGGGGATATGGCAGTGGTGCCGGTGGATATTCTGATAGTACCATTGGCAAAGGGTGTGGTGAGAGTAAGAAAGTTGGCGGGGGTGGAGGTACCGGTGGATACTCTGATAAAACCAGCGTTGGTGAGTACAACTGGTTAATCAGTGTGATTCCCTTGAATTCTATAACTTAGCCCCTCCTCCGTCACCGTCAGTGATCTCAATCAATGGCAGGCTGGTAGAGTTAGTTAAGCAGAAGGAGAGGATGTCGCACCAGATGATCGGACAGTTGCTGGAGGAGAAGATGTGGGGAAGCTTTTCATGGTTAATTCAGAGTACACTCACGACAGGTGCATTTTGTTTTATTTCAAACCACGGACATTTTTGTAATTGTGACTTTAATCTAACTTACATTTAAGTCCGAAGGGACCTGAGAATTATTTATGGATTTGATGGGATTTTTGAGTATTTAGAATTGTTGTATGGGACCTGACAGTGATTTTCCCTCAAATTTTCAGCATATAATATATCAAAGCAGCCAGTACTATCGAAAGGATCAAAATTAAGGACCCAAGTCATCCAACCCAATTAGTTACAGAAACAATAGAATTTTCATTCACACAAAGTGGAATACTTGTACCATTTGACTGCAGCCCAAACCTCAAATTTCCAATAGTTAGCATTTCACTCTTGCTTGATGCAGCATGCATTTATTGAAAACCCAATGCAAAATGTAACGTAAAAATTTAAGTAACATTGATATTGCGGAGTAGAAGCAATTAGAAAAATACTCCAATCAAGTCACCAGTTATCTCTCCAGCTGCAAAATCTTCAATCACTTATGATACAGAGAGCCTAATGGGGGTAAAATTGCCTTCCAAAACAACTTGGATAAAAAATATATACATATCATCAACGAAAGAAATATTCTATTTCTTACATTTGTTTCTGTTCACTGTGGAGATAGGACTTCTCACAGTAGTCTGCAGCAGAATAAAGTTGAGGCCTCAGGTTCTTTAGTTCCTGAAATGACCAACATAGGAGGATTAAATAACTACTTATTATTTAATATGCATTATGTATTTGTCAAATCATAATCACAACAATCAAAGAGAAAATACTGAAAGGAACAGAATGAGACAATATATAGCTACAGAAACCCTTTAACAGTGTGAAATCTTTAGAAGAAGCTTGGATCGCACAATGAGACTCTGAGGCGTCAGAAATTAATGTAACGTGTTTCAAAAGAATAGTTAAATTAACACCATGGCTTGGACGAACTTACCACCGCGTTTGGTTTCAAAGAATCGTTATAATTAACCCACCGCCCCCAATCCCCATCCAAGGGAAAGAAGTAAGAGTTAAACGGACCGGAGAAGAATCCATCTTCTCCAAAGAAAAACCAAAGCTAGTACAAAATTCAAAGCTAACTTACCCGCGTTTCCCTGAATTTTCCTCCGCCATCAAAACAGGACAAAGACATTAGAAGTCAATCCCGGGAAAAACAATCTTACCAAGTGCAGAAAGAATCAATGAGAAACACATTTCACATCAAATAAAAAAAAAAAGAATCAATGGGAAACACAACAAAATTAAAAAAAAAAATGAAGATCTAGCTCAACTGCCGAAGCATCGCACCCAAAAAAAAAAAAAAGCGGGAGAAAGTGAGAGAACGAGGAAGATCACCTGCAATGCCTTGACGAAGCCCTTGCTACGCTCCATGGAAACCTCGTCGAAGGTCATGGCGGAGTTGACAGACCTCGGGAGCTCCAATTCCATGCCTAACTGAACAAACTCCAAGAAATCAAATTACCAAGCAAAAGCATGAAATCTGGTCGGCAAGATAATCCTTAATATAGTGATGAGAGGGAATTGAAGTGGGTGAGGTTTTGGTGGGAGAGGTAAGCAAGCAAACTATGGGAGTGAGAGAGAGAGGCAAAACCCCAAGGGGAAGCGAAAATGACAGCGCGCCTCTCGGTTTTTTTTGAGGTGCTCGTTCGTCGATGGAACTTTTCGCGCAGTCGGTGCGTTATTGTATTCTTTTTATTTTATCGACAATGGTACACTGACCTGATGTTTCTTTCTAGAGAAGTAAATTTGTACACCCTCCTACCTCATCTATAAAGTATATCTTAAAAAATTTATTTAATTTTATTTATAAATTATGATATAATTTTTGAAGTAATGTTTAAAAAATATTTTAAAATTATTTTTTTAAAGAGAAAAAAATAACATGAAATCATTTTTAAATTTATTATATCAGGATGTATTTAAAATTTTATATATTTTTATTCCTTTTTTTTATTTTTTTATATTAGTATTGATGAATTTAATAAAATAATTTATAAAAAAGATCAGAAAACAAGTAATAAATTACATGTTTTTAAAATTATAAGGAATAATGTATATAACATTCATAATGCAAATGTTAACATAAATAAAACTAGACACTCTCCGATGCATGGCAAGATTATTTATGGAACAATTGAACAAAGTATTTTAAGTTGAATCTCATCTGTTGCAGAGGCTTGATTTTTTAGCTTTTTAGAATTTTATAGTTTGTGTAATTTATCAATTCATTTGAGATAATAACATTTACAAAAAATTAAATCTAAATAATAATGCTGTCGATAATGCACCACGGTAAAATTATAAGGAATAATGTGTATATATAGTGTTTTAAGCCTTTTTTTAAAAAAAACATTATAAGGAACAATGTATATAAGTAGCATCAATGTAATTTTGACATAAATAAAATGTGTTGATGGGAGTATGATTATGAATTGGATGCCTGCCTGCCTTGGGCAATCTTCATTATAATTGTCGTAATTGCTTTGAGTTTCATGTCAAGCGTCGTCATTTTTAATTAGATGATCTGCTTTTGCTTAGCACTTAGCAGTGAAAAACATATCTCCACCCTCTCAGCCAAATCTTTATTGCAGTAAAAAACGAAATACGTTTAGTAAATATTTAATAATGTTAGCCCCCACAGCACTGCACCGTTGTTGACGGAAACGACGAGACTTGAAGATTCTTACACCCCACTCACCACTCAGAATCTATTCTCTCTGCTTCGTCCCTTGTCCACTTTTTGTTTTCGTTTATTCTTTTTTCTGCCTTTTCTTTTTAAATTTTATCTTCTTCTTCTTCTTTTGTGTTTTCCTCCTCCATCTCGTTTCCTCTCTCTCACTACTTTACTATTTTTTTATTTTATAACTAAATTAAATTATCGTCTTAATTTTATGATTTTGTTTAGTTCTATTCTTTGTAAAAATTTGTAAGAATTACATATTTATCATATAAAAAACCATAGTTAGAAAGTTTTCTTTTAACCAATCAACTTCCAATAATAGTTAATTAAATTAAACTTAATGGTGCAATCGGTACGACTTATGTGCAATGGAGTATACATAGTTAAAAATCGTTCATTCAAGGTGCTTGACAAATTCTAATAGTAATAACATTGGACGAGTGTATAAAAATATGAACAGGCATTGAGAGTTCAATTCTTTTGATATAAAAAAATTGTGATTTTTTTTTTTTGCAGAAAAATAGTGATTCATAGTAACAACAGAGCAAGTTTATTAGTTTAGTTCGTAGGAATTTTTGGATGAAGCTAGTTCCTTGTTTGGTATTTAGAAGAGATTTTGATAATGTGTGACTCATTGTTTGGTTAGATGGCTTGGAGGGGAGGAGATACGAGTTTCTAAATTCATCTAAACAAGATGGATAAGTAAAAAGTCATGAGATTTTTTATAAAGAGAATATGTACAAATGAAAGCAAGAAAAACTGATTAAAAGTTGTAACCCGACTTTGCATTTTTTCTAAAAATAGAAGTAATTATATCCTCTCATCAGTCATCCCCTTCCTTGCTCTTTAGAACCCTTCAAACCATTCGAACCAAACTGGATCATAAGAGAATTACGTGGTTTCGAAGCAACAACTAAGTAAATATAGGCTACAAACTGTTTAAACATGTTTGAGCATGCAAGCTATCACATAAACTTGAGGGATTTTTGAGGTGACATGCCAAAACTAAAGCCAAAGAGCTGAGCACCAATCATCAGAATCTCGATTGGGCAAGGTGGAATAAGACTCGTTGAAGCAACTGGAGAGACGAAGTTGGGATAAGCATAGCCCAGAGGCATTCTTTTAAAGATTGCTTCCAGGTGAGGAGGACCACTCATCCGTTTATAGCAATATCCTCCATGGTGGTTGAGATGGAGACTCGCTTGATGACACACAAGGAACAGATTGAGAATACAACAAGTAAAAACAACACATGGTAGGCTAATCTTGCATTACAATGTAGTTAGAATATAGAGAGCAAGCAAATTAAATATTTATTACCAATAAAAGTTTGTTCAATTAGTAAGAATTATCTCATAACTCAAAAGATCAATGTGAGATCGAAGCTTATTTTTGATGCAAACACCTTGTTAGTAATCAATTTTTGAGTAATCTTTAAATATTTTTGTAAATGCCCTTCAAATCTAAAAGTATGACCTAACTTTAATAACTTTTTAGGATTCAACTTATCTAAATATTTTTATGTAAAAAAAAAAACAAAGACTCATTGGCAAGGGGTGAATGGGTGTACTTTTCATTTGGACTTGAAGAGGATATAATTGTGACTTTCAATTAAATTTTAGCAATTTTATTTTTTTTGTCTTAAATAATTTTATAACTATTAACTTATATATTCAAAAATTTTAAATTTAAAATATAAAAATAAATAAGTGATTTTGTATTCATCATTTTTTTTGGAAAAAATGAAATTTTATCTTTAGATGAGATACGTCGTATCCAAAAAAATATTTTTTTTTTTGCAGAAAAATAGTGATTCATAGTAACAACAGAGCAAGTTTATTAGTTAGTTCGTAGGAATTTTTGGTGAAGCTAGTTCCTTGTTTGGTATTTAGAAGAGATTTGATAATGTGTGACTCATTGTTTGGTTAGATGGCTTGGAGGGGAGGAGATACGAGTTTCTAAATTCATCTAAACAAGATGGATAAGTAAAAAGTCATGAGATTCTTATAAAGAGAATATGTACAAATGAAAGCAAGAAAAACTGATTAAAAGTTGTAACCCGACTTTGCATTTTTCTAAAAATAGAAGTAATTATATCCTCTCATCAGTCATCCCCTTCCTTGCTCTTTAGAACCCTTCAAACCATTCGAACCAAACTGGATCATAAGAGAATTACGTGGTTTCGAAGCAACAACTAAGTAAATATAGGCTACAAACTGGTTAAACATGTTTGAGCATGCAAGCTATCACATAAACTTGAGGGATTTTTGAGGTGACATGCCAAAACTAAAGCCAAAGAGCTGAAGCACCAATTCAAGAATCTCGATTGGGCAAGGTGGAATAAGACTCGTTGAAGCAACTGGAGAGACGAAGTTGGGATAAAGCATAGCCCAGAGGCATTCTTTTAAAGATTGCTTCCAGGTGAGGAGGACCACTCATCCGTTATAGCAATATCCTCCATGGTGGTTGAGATGGAGACTCGCTTGATGACACACAAGGAACAGATTGAGAATACAACAAGTAAAAACAACACATGGTAGGCTAATCTTGCATTACAATGTAGTTAGAATATAGAGAGCAAGCAAAATTAAATATTTATTACCAATAAAAGTTTGTTCAATTAGTAAGAATTATCTCATAACTCAAAAGATCAATGTGAGATCGAAGCTTATTTTCAATGCAAACACCTTGTTAGTAATCAATTTTGAGTAATCTTTAAATATTTTTGTAAATGCCCTTCAAATCTAAAAGTATGACCTAACTTTAATAACTATTTAGGATTCAACTTATCTAAATATTTTTATGTAAAAAAAAAAAACTAAAGACTCGTTGGCAAGGGGTGAATGGGTGTACTTTTCATTTGGACTTGAAGAGGATATAAAATTGTGACTTTCAATTAAATTTTAGCAATTTAATATTTTTTTGTCTTAAATAATTTTATAACTATTAACTTATATATTCAAAAATTTTAATTTAAAATATAAAAATAAATAAGTGATTTTGTATTCATCATTTTTTTGGAAAAAAATGAAATTTTATCTTTAGATGAGATACGTCGTATCCACTTTGATATATAAACTTAAGATTTTAAGTTTTAATAGTAATTTAAATTTTATAAATAGTATTAAATGTATATAAAGCTTCATTATTTATAAATTATGATCAATCTAACTTATTTTAAAATTTGTGTAAAGAGTGTGCGGTGTGCCTATAATTTACTTTAATTTTATACCAAAAGCAATATAAGTATACATTACAATTTATTTTTAAATTTTAACATATTTAATATAACTCAGCAACATATAGAAAGGTAAATGAAAATAATTATGTATACGATTAACATAAATAAATAATAATAAATTAAATAATCATTATAATTATAATTAATATAATTTTTTTTTTGGACAACATTTCTGTGGGGCCTGTGTACTTCCTTTTGATAAATTGGGTAATTGACGGGACCTGAGCCGGAGGGGAAGTCCAGTTTCTTTTGTTGAGCGCGCTCCTTTGACAAAGGGGTGGTTCCAGATAAGATTTCATTTCCAGGAAAATGACATCGTCTTCCTTAATTTTCCTCTAATTTCATTGTTCATGCGGGAAAATTTGAGCTACTGATGGCTCTTCTTATCCATTCCCCGGTGACGCTTGTAAACCCCAAAGTTTTCTACGATCACAGCCCTAGCTTTAGGAAGCTTCAGAGCTTTAAAACCTTCACGGACGGCATCGCAATTGGGCCGAGTGATGGGATAAGAGTATCTTGTAGAGTGAAAGACTTTGGGGTTTCGGGTTTGAATCCGCACGTGAGTTTGAAGTCGTACGGTCTCTTTTCAGCTCCGGTGAAGCTGGAATCGAGGTCGAGCAAAGAGGAGGAAGAAAAGCAGAATTACTATTTGAATCTGGGCTATGCGATCCGGACTTTGAGGGAGGAGTTCCCTGAGCTCTTTTACAGGGAGCCTTGTTTCGATATCTACAGGTTTGTTGAGTGTCCACCGTGGTAGTTGAGTATTTGAGGAGAA